TTTAGTCAACATAAGTAACAACAAACCGAAATTCAAGAATTCTAAGTAATTCCATCCTATCCGTCTACGAACATTGTGATATACATATATTTGAATTTAAGCATGTGAAACAGTCGACTGAATTATGAAGACCTCGACATCTGAAGGAAAACACGGCAAACAATGGACAGCTCAGAATCAATAGGACGATTTGGACTTCGCAGATGATATAGCTTTTCTATCACATACACAAGAACAAATGCAGATGAAGACAAGCAGTGTGGCAGCAGCCTCTGCATCAGTAGGCCTCAACATACACAATGGGAAAACCAAGGTCCTCAAATTTAAAACGGAGAACAGCAGTCCAATCACTCTTGATGGCAAAACTGTGGAAAATGTAGAATCCTTCACATACCTGGGAAGCATCATCGATGAACGAGGAGGTTCAGATGCAGACGTAAAGACGAGAATTGGTAAAGCAAGGGCCGCACTCCTACAATTGAAGAACATGTGGAACTCAAAACAAATTTCAACCAATATCAAGGTCAGAATCTTCAATACGAACGTCAAGGCAGTTCTACTGTACGGAGCTGAGACAACAACCACCAACAAGAAGGTGCAAGTATTTATAAATGGTTGTCCACACAAGATACTCAACATCCATTGGCTGGATACCATCAGCAACAACCTTCTCTGGGAGAGAACAAACCAACTTCCAGCTAGAGAAGAAATGAGGAAAAGACGATGAAAATGAATAGGACATACATTAAGGAAATCATCAAACTACATCACGAGGCAAGCCCTAACTTGGAATCCTGAAGGGAAGCGAAAAAGAGGAAGGCCAAAGAACACATTACGTCGAGAAATAGAAGCAGATATGAATAGGAACTGGAAGGAGCTGGAAAGGATTGCCCAGGACAGGGTTGGATGGAGAGTGCTGGTGATCGGCCTATGCTTCTTCATGAGGAGTAACAAGCATATTTAATTATATTAAACAGTACCACAATTTACCACAAATAAACACATTTTATTGATTAATAAATATTCTACTCCACTAATAAGCCATATTACTCAAACTGATAAATATAATTCAGTGAATTCCAACTAAGTAAATTTTCAAAACCACTGTACAACCTATAAGACTTGAATCCTAAATGATCGTATATGAAGAGTTGTCAGTGAATATTCTTATAGAAATATTGAATAATAATAATAATAAAATAACTAATCACTAGCGCACTCTATTTCCCTATGTGTTCTCTCCATACTACCAATATCTATTACTAGTATCAATAAAATATGAAATAGGAAACACGCTTCATTATTGATAAAGTTGTGTTTTTATTATGTATGATTAGAATATTTTCTTCCATTAAAAAAAAAACACAAAACAAATTTCAACTAATAATTAAAAAAAAAAGAAAAAGAGAAGCAAATAAATTAATCATAATTATCATGGAAATTAATCAATTATGTAGAAACGAAAGTACCATCTATTTACATGATGAATTGATATACACACATTGACATATTCATTGATAGTTTTATACGCTTAATAAATTCGATATTAGTTAGTTAGTTACAATTTTCTATGGAATAGTTGAGTAGGGAGGGGAGGAGAGGTAGGGAATAGATTTAAGTTAAAATGAATATCCATTATTGTAAATTGAAAAGAAAAAAACAAAAAAAAATTATTAAAACAAGAGAACTGATGAAATTGAATCGTCTAAGATTAAATACGAAATAGTTAGCTGTTGAGGTTAATATAAGTTCACTATTGGGCGATTCAACTTGATGTTCATACTTACTAGTACGATCGTAGGAGAATGTGTGTGTGTGTGTGTGTGTGTGAAGAATCCAATCACTAAATATAGTGACTAATTATTTTTTTTCAAATGACAGGTAAATATTTTTGTTATTGCATAAATAGATGATCAAAATAATTTGTTATACATAAATCATAGTAGAATATGACAGGAAGAGATAAAGACAAATAGAGAGAAAAATATGAATGACTGGTTCCACTTATGCAACTGATTTATCAAATACATTCATTCATCATTCAATTATACATTTCTTGTATAATGAATGTTTATGTTAGTCGGCTATTCATATCGGTATAGATAACACCCGGTTCGAACTCGGGTATTCTACATACTACATTAACTTAACTGGAAGCTGGAAAGTAACATGGATTTTTTTTATTACTTTCGATCTATTTTTATTAAAAAACACGATAGTGTTACACAGTAGAATAGTCTAGAAGCATGCAGCTCTGTAAAATCACAGACTAATGGTTTTAAAAGTACTAGAAACACATACAGTTACTCATCGGATCGCATTCTACAGTTGGAGACATGATGTTAGTGACGTTTTACAGTTGAAACATTTTTAGAATAACTTGAAAACAACGATCATTTTAAGTTTGGATTTTTCAACTGGATTTTCATTGTACACATTTTTGAATTTATTTTAATTAATATTAGTAGAACAACACTATAATCGAAAATAAATCACCGTTGTAAGGTTAATGAGACTGTGAAATGGTAGAGATTTGTAGCTCGGGCGGATGAGTTTGATGCACTTTTGTTCTCTGATGTGGATGGTTTGGTCGCGAAGCTTTCATCGTTCTCCTGATTGGTGGACCAGTATACAGTAAACAGGAGAACCATGTACCTATTTATATTCGATAATTTTGTTGTTTGATTATATTTTCCTTGAAAAAGCTTGGACCAGATTGCCAGGCGAAACGTTGGATTTACTTAAAATTCATTCGCTGAGATTTTACAACTACATTCTTCCTCTTTAATGACTCATATTAACTCGGCGCCCAAATATTGTGAATCTATTCGTTTAAATTTAGACGAAAGTTCTTATATAAAATACACCATTTTGTCGTCAACAATAAATGTTATTGTAAACATTATGAATTTGAGCCTATTAGCATTGAAATCCAATTAATAAGTGGGGAGGTTTTAATTCTATCGAAGCGTCCAAATACGTGATTAAGATACGGGCGAAACCAAAGTTGAACAAACAACGATTTGTCTGAAGAATGGTTCTGTTATTAAGGAGCATATATAGAATGCTTACAAACTTCAACTAGCTAAATATCTGCGGCGATTACCTTGTCTTTATGTCTGGAAAGAGAAAGACTCTCTGTATTATTAACATAGAAGTTAATCACAAAATATGACTGTAAATGACAGTTGATAGCTGTGTCTAATGACAACAACAGTTCATCAACCACCAAAATGGATATTAAAAACACCCAAATATGGAAACAGATGCATGTAAACAAAGATTAAAGGAATGTATAAGACTGGGAATAGCTGTTACAACAGTTAAAATATAGAAGCTATAAGTTTATGTAAATACTTTAGGATATTACAAAACACAAACTTGAGCCACATCATAAGTTTAGAAATTATTAGAAATAGAACTGTCTACTGTATATCAACAAGTAATATGAAGCAATATACCGCAAACGAGTTAGATGGGAAGAGAATGAGCTCACATGTTAAAGAACGTATTTATTTATTTAAACGTACAAACAATGGTACAAGAAGGCGCCAAATAGATATGCGCCACAAAAATCTCTCGATTTATATGAGGGCTGGTATACTGCCCGGGTGCCCGAAACGAAGCAGGTGGTTTTCTTAAGAGACCACTAGAAAAACTGACCTGACAGTTAAAATTGAAATCATATAAAAAGGTAGTGGAGAAACACTAATTAGACTGATGACATTACTTAGGGCATGGGAGTGATGGTCGCTTTTATTATAATAAATTAAGGCCTAAACAGTCGTCACTTTTTCTTAGCTACATTCCCTGATAAGTTAGAAATCAACACTATCGATCCATACAGTAAGTTTCATACAACTGAAGCCACTTCTTTTACAACCTAACGAAGTCATTCCAAATAAATTATTAAAATATACACTGTTAAACTAATTGATAACAATGATGTAAAACATTCCTAGATCAGATGATAATTGAGTTCAAGAGATAATCATTGAGTTGCAGATTTAATAAGTTTATATTGGTTAGCTTATTTTACGTTTGCATAAGATGATTCAGCCTGAATACCAGTAAAGTGAATTATAACATGGAAAAACAAACGGATAAACTTACAAATGCATCAATTATCATCACACGTCTAGCTAAAATTCTTCTGTTTCAAAAAACGAACAGTCATTAAATGTATAAGAAGTAGTTATCATTATATTTGTGTGTGGGACAGAATACTAGCCGGATGACTAAACTGGAGCAAGTTGTTCTTTTACAGGGCAACTTCCCGACACTTTGCCCTCGAGATCGGTGACACTATAATTTATGGATGAACCAATTAGGTATAAGATAATAGGTCTCTGATTTTGGGGCGCATTTCACTCATCTATTTGGTTAAATATAGTTTTGACATTTCAACTGAAGTCAGTTCATGATGAAAACCCTAAATCTAATTTCTAACCTTACCTATCAACTGTAAATCACAATTCTAATCCCTCACACTAGTTTATAACCCTTAATTAATCCTAACTACTAGGTGTACACTCTCAAGATCAATTTAGCGTCGCTCAAAGGTCGCCTATAAATTATAGTCTCACCCTAGAGGTCTAATCCACAAGATGGTGGTCCAATGTTAGAAGATGAGTTCTAGTCGTATTCGCTGATAAAAAACAGATGCATACGATAATTTTTCACTCAAGATACTGAAACTCATATGGACTATTAGTTTAAAGTCAGGATTTTCCGACTCTCCTAGGTTGATCACCATTACCACAAAATCAGCGTTAAGCGCCGAAAATTCGCTTTTCATCCTCTCAATTTCGTGAACATCCCCACTGCAAGAAGCCAATGAGTATGACCTCCCAGAAAGTGACTGCATACATGTGGATATATGGGAACATTTCGAGAGGAAGATCGGGATCTCTTCCACCGTCAGCCGTACCAAAGCATTTCGGAGGGGGTGTAGTCAATAATGCCGATCTGAAAATGATCAAACGATTCACAAAAATTTCATTAATTACTTTATAGTACTATTTACTTTAACAGACAATTTCATTTAATTGAAAAGACACATAACTCATTAAAACCAGCTCAAAGAATAAAAACATATTTCTTTATAAATCTCAATGATAAGAAGAAAAACACAAAAAAATCTAAAACCCATACAATAAAAATCTTGTCTATTTTGTAGTTTCTTTAACAAACAACATTTCCAAAAAGATATAATATGTTCAGAGTTTTGGCTTTTTCGCATCAAATGCTAACTGGTTACTATCATTATTATTATTAGTGGTTGATTGTAATGATCTTTTCAATGCTGATCTACGTTGTGATACTGGATTGACCTGCTACAATATGGAATGAAGAAACAAAAATTAAATATTTGAAAAATCATTACAAGATGAAGTTTTAGTTGAGAAAAAAATTTTGTATGGGAAAGAACCAGTCATAAGCAACATAGAATCCGGTACAGATATGCATCGATACAGTTCGCTATAATATATCAAAGCAAAGAGATAAAATTATGGAGATCAATCTCGAGGCAGTGATAAGTAGTAGCAGCATCAGTATAAGATTAGGTGTAGACAATATGATTCGAGAAGGAAGGATAGATTCGCAGTCAAGTTCGAAACGTAGGATCTACGAGAAGACAAAAAGGTAAATGCATCTGCCCCATCGAGACTGATCCTGAGACATATCATTCAAAATCTGTAACCATTGGTTGCAATAATCGTGTGGACCTTAACCAGTTAGTGTTCACCCACTAACAGCCCAACAGTCAATGATTAAATTTATTGATGTTATGTTTTGGTTTCGTCGTCCATAATAATGGAATTTAAAAAGAATCCAGTAATGACCAATACCTGAAAAGCTTTGATAGTTAGCATAACAGTAGATAAAAGACAAAGATTACATACAATATTAGCTCACAACTCTTGTACATTCCAGACCAACATAGTCAAGAATCTGTGAACTAACTGTAACCAATAGTCAGAGAGGATTTAGACATGACTTAGAATAGATTGTAACTGTACAACAATTACATTCCCTCGATTTGTCTTTCTCTACAGACGGTGAGTTATACTATTATTTATTATACTACAACTTACCCCATTAATGTTAACTATTCATTTTGAAATAACTTGAAACTTTCATTGTTATTGATATTATTATTAGTATTTCAATTCCATATGATTTTCAATAATTTAATTCTCTCTTTCTCTCTTGCTGTGTATATGTGTGACAAAACAAAAATACTAAATACTACACTGAAATATCTAACTAATGTATTTGAAATTTCACTTTAACACTGTTACTGAATTAAGTATATGATGTTGGGAATTTTATTGATGTACAAGATATATCTCTACGAAAGACCAGATGAAATCAAGAAAACAGAATGCTATTTCAGATTACAGGATTAATTCATGGAATAAAAAGGCTCAGAATAATAGTGAATACCAGAAGCTAAGAGGAAGAAGTGAAGGAATATGTGGTAACGAAACTGATTCCGAGTCACATCATCAAATGGCTTTAACAAATCATTTTGAGATTATCGTAAAGAACTCAATCAAGTACTTTACATATATCAAAATGGCTCAAATCAAAGTCTATGATGTTATGGAATCATTTTACTTCACGATTCGGACACCAGTACTGTGAGTCAATGTACAAAGTGTATAAGCATACTTAACAAATGTCAAAGAAAAGGTCAGCTGATGAGAAAACACTACGATATTAATTGTTTTGACACATTTGTTTAGTATCCCATACATGACCACAACATTTCTCACTAAGGAGTCTCAAAATACACTAGATGTTAGCTAGAATGATATTGTGTCTCTCGATAATGATTTGATATTAGTAATCAAAGAATACGATACAATGAGGAGGTAACACAAAACAACATAATCTAGATTACGCCAAATGTTTCCAGGAATTTCGTAGGAGAACTTGAGATTAATATTTAAACGTCAAAGTACCCCACATTCAGCATATACGTAGCAAGTTCAAACATAATTCCACCTATTTTGATCTTAGCATCGGAATCGCACTGAACCCTGATAAACAGCAGTAATTTGAAAAACAGATATACTTAATTAACAAGTCTATATAATCTTAGTGCATTTGAAGATTAAATACTATAAGTATTCGCATTCCTTGGTAAACAGAATCCGATTATCATGGAATAACATTATATTATTTTGAAATACAATGAAACATTGAGTTACAATATTGACGTTTCTATAAGTTTTATGAAAAGTATATAACGACAAATTGAAAACAAAACAACAACATTAACTTACACGACCCCAAGCAGGTGTTACAGTAGTACGTGATTTAGATAGGTGATTCGATGAAATATTTTCTACATTTTCATCTATATCATTAGTATGCATTACATCATGCGAATCGATATCGTCACACACATTATTTTCATTACCAGGAACATGATTATCATCTTGATAATGGCTACTACGATGCTGCTTATCGTCATCATTATCATTACCACTCCTACGATCGGTATCTTCCTGTTCTCTCTCAGTCGGATCATTAGCATTTATAACGTCATTGTTTAAATTCTCAGCATCTTCATCGGGTTCACTGTTATCACTAAGACTACTAAGACTCAAAGCAGTAGATTGTTCTAAACTGGCAATCACTGCAGCTTGATTAATACGAAAATCTCGTGCTGTACTCAATTTGACATTACGCATAAGATTAATCTAGAAAATAAAAAAAATGAAACTTGACATCGAGAGAGTTCATGAACTACTACTAGGATTATGAACTGGACTAAATAAAGTAATTACACATCAAATTACTACCACGCAACTTAACCAACAAATGAATGAACATCTCCCAAAGACAATGACATCATACTATATCGTGAGTTCACTGAAGTTGGAAATGTTTATACCATAAAATATCAACCCAGTAGTCATATGGTTAGGAGATTGATGAAAAATGTGAATGCCTTGAGTTCGACTATTGGTGGGGTCGTGTATGTCCACTGACCCTCAGTTATTAATGGTACCGCAACTGAGATCAAACCGTGAAGAATACAATCTGTGAATATCATAGTAGTTAATCCAAAACTTATCAAATATTCATTCAACAAATAAAATAACCAGATAATAATTGGAACGTATAAAATTGTTCCTTATACTACTGTGTATTATTCCTAAAAGCCAAGTAATGAACAGTTATTGACTTGACATATTGTAATAAACTGATGAGTAATTAACTACACTCTCCAAGAAAATAGATAGTTCATAACATTAAAAGTCAAATGTACTAACTTGAAAAGTGATAGTCAGTTTCTAATCAATATTAACTGATAATCAAAGTGAAAATACAATGTAATGTGAAATTTTTACGCTGAGAATGAAACGATTACAGTTTAAAAGCTAACCAATTCAAATACTTTATAGGGTGGAATACGTTAAACATTGATCTCATCAATATACACTACTACCTAATTTATAAAGACACAACCAAATCAGATCAATCTGTAACAAATAAAGCCAATCTTCGCAAAACTTCAACTTAATTAAAATACTTGTCAAAGAAACTCAAACAAAATGGAAAACAAATAAGAAGAATTACCGAAACTGTAACTTTAGTGAAGATCAGAAGAAAAATGCTCCACAATAACCGTTAGTATTGCATGATAATGAAAGACTAAACACACGCACACACACACATATAATTATGTCAAAATAGTTGAATAAAACCCTGAAATCATATGTAAATCACTTTATCACTAACATGAAATATTTATGTATTATTTTAAAATGTAAAATGTAAATCTTAAAAAAATATAGAAAAACAAAAAAAAATATGGTAGAAATTGAATGGGAAAATTAAGTGTCTAGACAACTAATAATTAACATACATAACAGTTTCTAGATTCATTCATTCATTCATTCGACAAACAACAGTAACAGTAATGTAAATTAATAATTTAAACAGTGAGAATTAGAATCAATGACAAGATTGTATTGTTTTTGTGTACATCTTTCACAGTAACAATAAAAGAAACATTTTTAAGTAAGTTTTATGAAATGTTTTAGAAAACTACTACTATTATCAGTTTTTAATAAGAATCTTAAATGAATTATTCTAACCTTATTAAACACGAAAATTTCTATTTATTTATTTATTTAAAGACATAAACATTGTTACAAGAAGGCACCAAATATATATGCGCTACACTTCATCATTCAAGCTGTGTGAGGGCTGGGATACTGCCCAGATACTTGAACGGAAGCAGAAGGATTTTAGGGGAGGTTACTCGCCGAAAATTTGACTTAAAGATCTAATCCACTAGGTAGTGGAGCAACGTTAGAAAATGCAGTCTCATGGTAACTCGTAACCAACAATAGGTTCATACGCCATATTTTCCCTAAAGATACTGAAGCCCATGTGTACTGATGGTTTGGAATCAGGGTTTTCCAACTCTCCTTGATGGATCTTCCAACACTTACAGTTAATAAATAGCTAGTAAAGCATATGACTATTAGAAATATTCATGGGTTCCAAGATATCAAAACAGTATTATTTAGTCTCACAGTCAAAAATGTTATAACTGACGTATTCAATCTCGAACTGAAAGCACTACGAAAAACTAAACATGTATCATAGTAGTCACTGTTCAATGACCATCTATACATTTCTCCATATATGTTGAATTTTATAATTTTACTCATGCACACAGAGTTTAAGTAATTTACACCTTGAATTCGATGACTTCATGAAGAAGCTTCAGTCCTCTTCTTCACTTATGTACTTCGACAGTGAACGAAAAATCTAGGACTACATAACAACAAGAAACATTCACTATGTAAAGATAGAGGTAGTTTGAAGAAATGTACTAAAAAAGGTCAAATAACTACAGTTACAAGGCATTCGAATCAATGCATCCGGACGGGTTTAGACAGAGAGATGTACAAAATGACCTTGGACAGATTAATGATTCACTTACTAACAAAAAGCCTTTCAAACTGGTACTTCTCGTTTCCTATGTGACACTTTTGTATCATGTGATCAATTACGGATTATCTCGCCACGGCAGGATGAGAAAATGGTCACTTAAGCATAAAATAGAAGGCATACTCTTTAGTTAAACTTGTGTCTTAAATATTATAATAGACAGTTCGAAGTGAAGTTAGAAAAGACCTAACAGTCAGGTGCATTTCCATTCAAATAATTACTGAAAACTTTTACAAACTAATCACCAATGTTATAGGAATTTATATTATTTGGTTATTTATTTGAACACAATAATATATTGGTACAAAGAGGTATTGAATACGTGTGCTACACAAGTCACTTGATTTGTGTACGGGCTGTGAGAGTTTTCGTGTGTTTAAACCGAAGCAGGACGGCATAGTAGTAAAGATAAAAAAGAAAGATGCTCACTTTAGACTTTTTCGATAATTGCATTAAAAATCGTTCATATTGTTCAATAGCATATATTAATTGTGGAATTAGGCGAGAATCTTTGATAGTACGAGAAATCTGTAAACCAAAAAGAAATGTTATATATTATTTTGATGGTTTGTGAAGGACTTGTATGGATTATCATAGAACCGTTATATATATATATATATAGTTGGTATTTTATTCAACTTCAACAACTACTTACAAGTAGTTTAAACGTTTGTACTAATTTTTGAGTAAGACTCAATCAAAGTCAGCTTGCAAATTTAGGATTTTTGCAACAGAAAATGAAACGATTTATTTTAAGATGACTTATATGTATAAATGAAATTGAACGATTGATAATCAGAATGCCATATCTTAGGCACTTACTTCCTACTTGTAAACTCGATGAATATCGTCTAATATCAATAAACGATAGATGATGTTAATTACATTTCTAGATAGTAAACTTTCATTAACTGAGTTATGCATCCTAAATTACTATTGTGCTACAACATTACTAAGCTCTAAACAAGCTAGAAGAGCCTTGACCAATATATATGGCATTTAAAGGGATTAATCGACTGACTCTAAAACTTAAATGTTACGTGACGTTCAGAGAATCGTAAATAAAGAGATCCGAAATTGGTCGTTTATGATGCAGATATGTATGTCCTATCAACGAATATATTGTTTAATATCACTTAGTTCTTTACAATACTATTTTCATACCCGTAGTTATGACAGTTAAAACTGACACACCTGTTAAAAACAATAAATAAATTGGGAAAGCGTAGTCAAGGCAGGTATACTACTTATTTACATATTAGCAAATAACAGACTAAAAATACAAAACAGCTTCAGAACAGTGACTTTACAAGTAAAATATTATCTACCATATGACTAACTCACTAATGCCTGAGAAATTCCACCAGTAGACTTTGACTTTTTCGGTTCACAGTCATCCTTCTCGTTTGACTTCTTTTTCAAATTTTTGTTTTCTTGAAAACCTTTAATCTTTTCACTTTCTGAATTCTAAATTTGTCAAGAAAGAAAACAAACATCTAAGTTATTTCAGAGTTCATACCACAGATAGATTTTAGTTAGATAACCATAAAGAATCATGCACCGGACAACTGTTTTGTCCTGATGTAGGACTCCTCCTCCTTAGAAGTGCTCGACCACGACGTTCACTGAGGACTGAACCTAAAAACTTCAGAACTCATAGCGTGCACTTAACCTACTGAGGCGGAATGCAGTACGTGAGCAACTTCAATCGATTCGTGATATTACGTGACCATCACCCATCGCCTTTGGTAATGATTGTCTCACACCTCAAATAGTTATTTGAGTATATTGATTATGGAAGTGTTACACTAAAAACATCAATTTCCAATTACATCGATGTTTATGCCAAAAGTAATAATTTCGTTTTCCGAGGAAATTTGATGCAAATTTTAGGTGTAAATTTATTCATTTTCGTTTAAATCTATTGTAAAAAAACCCTTTTTGAATGCCATTTGCGCACATATTGTTCTTAGGAATTTTATAAGATGAGAATGCTAATTTTATGTATGAAAACAGAGTAGTAACATGTTTTTAAGATATAAATTTGAAATAGTGTATAACACCATACTAATAAGTAAACACTTTTAAACATACAATAAAGTGAGATTTTACACCACGTCGATGGAAATTTTATGATAATTATTAAGACAGTCTAAAAATATATATATTACAGTAATTGTAGTGAGAAAGATTTCGTTTCTGATATAACGCCTAGTAATAATGAAAGGAAACTCCGCCTGGAGTCCCTCCGGGGGCTACTGCCGGTCACAAGCCCGGATAAAGGAGAAGGGTTGGGCATGGTGTTAGCGTCCCCATCCCGTAGGAAACTAACTCGCTAAAAAAACGATAACCAGAAAGAATTATTCAAACCTTTTAACCTCTGCCCTGGGAGTCAGAAGGTCTTCATTTAGAAGAACTATGACGCCTCATGATGAAAGCCGAATTCCTTCGGAAGTTACGAAGCCGATGCCCCTTCTGACAACCAGAGTAACCATTTATTTAGGCACATGGAATGTTCGTACAATGTGGGACACCGGGAGAGTCTTCCAAATTGCTGCAGAAATGAGAAGATACTTGGGATCAGTGAAACACATTGGACGCAAGTTGGAAAACAACGACTAACTTCAGGAGAGCTTCTGTTATACTCCGGCCATGAAGAAGAAAATGCCCCACATACACAAGGAGTTGCATTGATGCTGTCCAAACAAGCGCAAAATGCGCTTATAGGATGGGAATCTCATGGACCAAGGATCATCAAAGCCTCGTTCAAAACAAAAAAGGAGGGCATTACAATGAATATCATCCAATGCTATGCGCCTACCAACGACTACAATGAAGACGCTAAAGATCAATTCTACTATAGGCTGCAGTCAATCGTCGAGAAGTGCCAAACAAAGGACCTGACCATTCTGATGGGAAATTTCAACGCCAAGGTTGGAACGGACAACACCGGATATGAAGACATCATGGGACGACACGGACTGGGAGAAAGGAACGAAAATGGTGAGAGATTTGCAAACCTATGTGCCTTCAATAAACTGGTCATAGGCGGCACCATATTCCCACATAAACGCATTCACAAAACCACATGGACTTCACCAGATCACACCACGCAAAACCAAATCGACCATATTTGCATCAACAAAACGTTCAGGAGGACTATAGGACGTGAGAACCAAGAGAGGAGCTGATATAGCATCAGAACATCACTTGCTGGTCGCCAAGATGAAATTGAAACTCAAGAAGCACTGGACAATGGGGCGGACAATATCACAAATGTTTAATACGGCCTTTCTTCAGGATACTAACAAACTCAATAAATTCAAGATAGTCCTCAGCAAGAAGTTCCAGGCCTTCCATGATCTACTCAATGGAGAAGGAACTACTGTGGAGAGCAACTGGAAGGGGATCGAAGAGGCAATCACTTCAACATGTCATGAGGTCCTGGGTCACAAGAAGCACCATCACAAGGAATGGATCACTGTTGATACACTGGATATGATTCAAGAAAGAAGGAACAAGAAGGCAGCAATCAATACCAGTCGAACAAGAGCAGAAAAAGCCAAGGCACAAGCTGAATACACAGTAGTAAACAAACAAGTGAAGAAGAGCATCAGAACCGACAAACGTAAATACGTGGAAGATCTAGCAAAAACGGCGGAAAATGCTGCAAGAGAAGGGAACATGAGACAACTGTATGACATAACAAAGAAACTCTCTGGAAACCGCCGTGAACCAGAACGACCAGTGAAAAGCAAGGAAGGCGATGTGATCACCAACATTGAAGATCAACAAAACAGGTGGGTAGAACACTTCAAAGAACTCTTGAATCGACCAGCTCCATCGAACCCACCCAACATCGAAACAGCACCCACGGACCTCCCAATCAACGTTGGCCCACCAACAATTGAAGAAATCAGCATGGCCATCAGACAAATCAAGAGTGGCAAAGCAGCAGGACCAGACAACATTCCAGCAGAGGCACTAAGTGCAGACGTAGCGGCAACTCCAAGGATACTCCACATTCTCTTTAATAAGATTTGGGATGAGGAACAAGTACCAAAAGACTGGAAAGAAGGACTTCTGATCAAAATACCAAAGAAAGGCGATCTCAGCAACTGTGATAACTACAGGGGCATCACTCTTCTTTTAATACCGGGAAAAGTCTTCAACAGAGTATTGTTAAGCAGGATGAAGGACTGCATAGACGCCCAACTTCGTGACCAACAGGCAGGATTCCGTAAGGATAGATCGTGTACAGACCAAATCGCAACTCTACGGATCATTGTGGAACAATCAATTGAATGGAATTCATCACTCTACATCAACTTCATTGACTACGAAAAGGCATTTGATAGCGTGGACAGAACAACACTATGGAAACTTCTTCGACACTACGGCGTGCCTCAGAAGGTAGTCAATATCATACAGAGTTCATATGATGGATTACACTGCAAAATCGTGCATGGAGGACAGTTGACAAAGTCGTTCGAAGTGAAGACCGGTGTTAGTCAAGGTTGCTTACTCTCACCCTTTCTCTTTCTCCTGGTGATCGACTGGATCATGAAGACGTCAACATCTCGAGGGAAGCACGGGATACAATGGACATTTAGGATGCAGTTGGACGGTCTGGACTTCCCAGATGATCTGGCCCTTCCATCCCAAACGCAACCACAAATGTAGGAGAAGACGAACAGTGTAGCAGCAGCCTCAGCAGCAGTAGGTCTCAATATACACAAAGGGAAGAGCAAGGTTCTCCGATACAACACAGCATGCACCAATCCAATCACAATTGACGGAGAAGATTTGGAAGATGTAAAAACCTTTACGTATCTAGGCAGCATCATTGATGAACATGGTGGATCTGATGCAGATGTCAAGGCGCATATCGGTAAAGCAAGAGCAGCATATTTACAACTGAGGAACGTCTGGAACTCAAAGCAACTGTCAACCAACACCAAGGTCAGAATTTTCAATACAAATGTCAATACAGTTCTACTGTATGGGGCGTAAACCTGGAGAACTACGAAAGCAATCACCCAGAAGATACAGGTGTTTATTTACAGTTGTCTACGCAAAATACTTCAGATCCGTTGGCCGGACACTATTAGCAACAACGTACTGTGGGAGAGAACAAAGCAGATCCCAGCGGAGGAAGAAATCAGGAAGAAGCGCTGGAAGTGGATAGGACACACATTGAGGAAAGCACCCGACTGCGTCACACGACAAGCCCTCACATGGAATCCTCAAGGCCAAAGGAAAAGAGGAAGACCAAAGAACAAATTACGCCGAGAAATGGAAATAGACATGAAAAAGATGAACAAGAATTGGATGGAATTAGAAAAGGAGGCCCAGAACAGAGTGGGTTGGAGAATGCTGGTCGGCGGCCTATGCTCCATTGGGAGTAACAGGCGTAAGTAAGTAAGTAAGTAAGTAAGTAAGTAAGTAAGTAAGTAAGTAAGTAAGTAAGTAAGTAAGTAAGTAAGTAAGTAAGTAAGTAAGTAAGTAAGTAAGTAAGTAAGTAAGTAAGTAAGTAAGTAAGTAAGTAAGTAAGTAAGTAAGTAAGTAAGTAAGTAAGTAAGTAAGTAAGTAAGTAAGTAAGTAAGTAAGTAAGTAAGTAAGTAAGTAAGTAAGTAAGTAAGTAAGTAAGTAAGTAAGTAAGTAAGTAAGTAAGTAAGTAAGTAAGTAAGTAAGTAAGTAAGTAAGTAAGTAAGTAAGTAAGTAAGTAAGTAAGTAAGTAAGTAAGTAAGTAAGTAAGTAAGTAAGTAAGTAAGTAAGTAAGTAAGTAAGTAAGTAAGTAAGTAAGTAAGTAAGTAAGTAAGTAAGTAAGTAAGTAAGTAAGTAAGTAAGTAAGTAAGTAAGTAAGTAAGTAAGTAAGTAAGTAAGTAAGTAAGTAAGTAAGTAAGTAAGTAAGTAAGTAAGTAAGTAAGTAAGTAAGTAAGTAAGTAAGTAAGTAAGTAAGTAAGTAAGTAAGTAAGTAAGTAAGTAAGTAAGTAAGTAAGTAAGTAAGTAAGTAAGTAAGTAAGTAAGTAAGTAAGTAAGTAAGTAAGTAAGTAAGTAAGTAAGTAAGTAAGTAAGTAAGTAAGTAAGTAAGTAAGTAAATAAGTAAGTAAGTAAGTAAGTAAGTAAGTAAGTAAGTAAGTAAGTAAGTAAGTAAATAAGTAAGTAAGTAAGTAAGTAAGTAAGTAAGTAAGTAAGTAAGTAAGTAAGTAAGTAAGTAAGTAAGTAAGTAAGTAAGTAAGTAAGTAAGTAAGTAAGTAAGTAAGTAAGTAAGTAAGTAAGTAAGTAAGTAAGTAAGTAAGTAAGTAAGTAAGTAAGTAAGTAAGTAAGTAAGTAAGTAAGTAAGTAAGTAAGTAAGTAAGTAAGTAAGTAAGTAAGTAAGTAAGTAAGTAAGTAAGTAAGTAAGTAAGTAAGTAAGTAAGTAAGTAAGTAAGTAAGTAAGTAAGTAAGTAAGTAAGTAAGTAAGTAAGTAAGTAAGTAAGTAAGTAAGTAAGTAAGTAAGTAAGTAAGTAAGTAAGTAAGTAAGTAAGTAAGTAAGTAAGTAAGTAAGTAAGTAAGTAAGTAAGTAAGTAAGTAAGTAAGTAAGTAAGTAAGTAAGTAAGTAAGTAAGTAAGTAAGTAAGTAAGTAAGTAAGTAAGTAAGTAAGTAAGTAAGTAAGTAAGTAAGTAAGTAAGTAAGTAAGTAAGTAAGTAAGTAAGTAAGTAAGTAAGTAAGTAAGTAAGTAAGTAAGTAAGTAAGTAAGTAAGTAAGTAAGTAAGTAAGTAAGTAAGTAAGTAAGTAAGTAAGTAAGTAAGTAAGTAAGTAAGTAAGTAAGTAAGTAAGTAAGTAAGTAAGTAAGTAAGTAAGTAAGTAAGTAAGTAAGTAAGTAAGTAAGTAAGTAAGTAAGTAAGTAAGTAAGTAAGTAAGTAAGTAAGTAAGTAAGTAAGTAAGTAAGTAAGTAAGTAAGTAAGTAAGTAAGTAAGTAAGTAAGTAAGTAAGTAAGTAAGTAAGTAAGTAAGTAAGTAAGTAAGTAAGTAAGTAAGTAAGTAAGTAAGTAAGTAAGTAAGTAAGTAAGTAAGTAAGTAAGTAAGTAAGTAAGTAAGTAAGTAAGTAAGTAAGTAAGTAAGTAAGTAAGTAAGTAAGTAAGTAAGTAAGTAAGTAAGTAAGTAAGTAAGTAAGTAAGTAAGTAAGTAAGTAAGTAAGTAAGTAAGTAAGTAAGTAAGTAAGTAAGTAAGTAAGTAAGTAAGTAAGTAAGTAAGTAAGTAAGTAAGTAAGTAAGTAAGTAAGTAAGTAAGTAAGTAAGTAAGTAAGTAAGTAAGTAAGTAAGTAAGTAAGTAAGTAAGTAAGTAAGTAAGTAAGTAAGTAAGTAAGTAAGTAAGTAAGTAAGTAAGTAAGTAAGTAAGTAAGTAAGTAAGTAAGTAAGTAAGTAAGTAAGTAAGTAAGTAAATAAGTAAGTAAGTAAGTAAGTAAGTAAGTAAGTAAGTAAGTAAGTAAGTAAGTAAGTAAGTAAGTAAGTAAGTAAGTAAGTAAGTAAGTAAGTAAGTAAGTAAGTAAGTAAGTAAGTAAGTAAGTAAGTAAGTAAGTAAGTAAGTAAGTAAGTAAGTAAGTAAGTAAGTAAGTAAGTAAGTAAGTAAGTAAGTAAGTAAGTAAGTAAGTAAGTAAGTAAGTAAGTAAGTAAGTAAGTAAGTAAGTAAGTAAGTAAGTAAGTAAGTAAGTAAGTAAGTAAGTAAGTAAGTAAGTAAGTAAGTAAGTAAGTAAGTAAGTAAGTAAGTAAGTAAGTAAGTAAGTAAGTAAGTAAGTAAGTAAGTAAGTAAGTAAGTAAGTAAGTAAGTAAGTAAGTAAGTAAGTAAGTAAGTAAGTAAGTAAGTAAGTAAGTAAGTAAGTAAGTAAGTAAGTAAGTAAGTAAGTAAGTAAGTAAGTAAGTAAGTAAGTAAGTAAGTAAGTAAGTAAGTAAGTAAGTAAGTAAGTAAGTAAGTAAGTAAGTAAGTAAGTAAGTAAGTAAGTAAGTAAGTAAGTAAGTAAGTAAGTAAGTAAGTAAGTAAGTAAGTAAGTAAGTAAGTAAGTAAGTAAGTAAGTAAGTAAGTAAGTAAGTAAGTAAGTAAGTAAGTAAGTAAGTAAGTAAGTAAGTAAGTAAGTAAGTAAGTAAGTAAGTAAGTAAATAAGTAAGTAAGTAAGTAAGTAAGTAAGTAATAATGAAAGGAATAGAAAACCTTGTCTCCGAGACACAAGTAAAACAGAAAAGTTCCATTTTTGAAACAAAATAACAGTTCAATGCTTTTGTAGTTTTCTCAAAGGTATCCTCTAACTAATTTTAATTCCTACCATAAACTACTTACACAATACTGGGTAGTATATATAAATGTATTCAGAGAAGGGATTTACAAAAGAGTAAATAACTCATTTACCAGGTACAGATTCATATACTTAGCTTTGTAAATGTGAGAGTCAGTGATAATATTCAGTTGTGCAGAGCGAAGGTGAGGTGGGATTTGAAGCCACAACTTGGTGGGCAACAGTTGAACATTTCAATCATCAAAATGTTCAGTACAAAAATGAGAACGAAGTATAAGATCGAGACATACATATAGTGGTGAGTAATTCTAAAATATAATTTCCGGAGTTCTAGTGAGAAGTAGTTACCAGTAGATTTTAATCATGTTAGATGCGAAGCAATCACCCACAACTAGCGTTGGATGATGGCTGCGTAAAATACTAAATTCATCGATATTAAGAATTTACACTATTTGATGCCAAATCAGTGGTGTAGTTGTTAAGCGGTCGCTGAGAGATCAGATGTTCCTATGTTCGATCACTAGTAAGGTCATAATTTTGCAATCTTAAGGAGCTCGATACTAGACTGAAATAGCTACATCTACCAATAGTTGTTCAATTAAGCTCAGTTTATGGTACTGAATAAAAAATTCAACAATCTTAACAAACCCCCTTTTATACCAAAATATAGGAACAATATTGCGTAGTGATTGCACGACTTTTTAGCAAAAACTAAACTTGTGCAAGACCTCTGACATATCACTCATTATTCTGCACATAAATATCGCTAATGAATCCACCATCTAAACTAGGCAAATTTGGTTACTTAGTAAGAAACAAAAATACAATTTTCTCCCAAAATGCTAATATGTGCTAATCAGATTACTGAATTTAACACTGACAACCATTCGGAATATAAGTGGTCTTATGCCGACTGACAGGTCGTGATGAATAAACGTAAATTGTGATGCAATATATTTACGATACATAAACAATTCAATCTACACTAGAGAAAATACAACTTTATGAGTCCTACATGGAGCTTGAATATCCCGAGAGTAGATATTACCTTGACATGGATGGTCGCGTTTGTTTATCGTAATGACACGACCGAGCTATGTCGCCTGAAGAAAAATTTTCTTCAGTCTTCACCATGACAGGCAAGGTGGTTGGAGAAATAGTAGGGCTAGGAGCAGCGAACCCGTGGTCCAACGGTAAAGTTGACTCCACTAACGTGTGGTGGGAGTAAGGTGTTTCCTTTCAGATACAACCATAACCTCCAGAGATGCTGATTTCTCATAGCGAAAGCAGAGGGTTAGAAAAGACCCATCTGAAAAATAACAAACCTCAACTCACCTCGAAGATTTTCGTCTTCAGCTAGAAAGTTTTCTGAAGCATGGAGTTAACAAATTGCAAACTTCTCACAGAAAAGCCTTTTATGACTGGCCTCAAGCAGTTGACCCTTTGGCTCTACAGTCACGCTCCCAGGTCGCTAAGACCATCACTAATACAGTTATCTTCACAGAAATTAAAAAGCACCTCTATGGTGTAGACAACTGGTAAGCGGCAACTGCTCTCTACCTTCATTATTATTTGTGAAAACTTCAGTATTGAAAAAAACGGTGGGGTTGTATGACAAGATCAAAAAATTCATTCGTGCTTACATTAAACTACCAAACAAACAAAACGATATCAAATTCAGGTATTGGTGGATACCTATTATACGTGTGTCAGTAAAACTGGCGATCACTGAAAGCCAAATTGCAAACCTTGAAATAAATATCACAGTACAAATAAACATGAGAACCATCCTCTAGACAAATGACTGAAATGTTATCTATTGTCTTTATATAATAGAAAAATCGAATTTACATACGAAATAAATTGTTTACCTGTATATAAGAAAATAATACATATGCACGTGGAGCAACTTCTCTACCATAAACACGAACTAATCGTTCAAAAATTACTGGGAAGCGACCATATTTCAGTCGGATAATTCGTAAATACTAATTAAAACAAAATGAATAAATAAACATATTGCCATAATATATGATTGAATTCAAGTATATATATATATATATATATATATATATATATATATATATATATATATATATATATATATATATATATATATATATATATATATATACTTATGATTAACTGAAGAAGCTAGATAATTCAGAACAACAAGTCAAACTTAACACTGAGAATACTCTGACAAAGAAAAATAGGTAGCCAAATCACGATATAGGATCAATCCATAAAGTAATTAACTGTTGAATAGATTCGAGTAAGTAGATGTAGACTACTAGGTTGAGGTTATTGTTACCACTGGTTTGAAGATGCTGAATAACATTTCCTGAAATTGGTAGCAATGTAACGGATACATTCACTTTTTTTTTCTTAAAATACCTATTTATTTTGATTCTGTAAATTCAGTTTTCCTTCTTAAAGTATATTTTCGTTGCTGAATTCTTTTTACTATCATTGATATTGTCACTAATACGGTTACTTATCATGATAGTTTTATTTCGCTGTGTTGATTGTAGTAAGACAACTTGACCTGATACATATTTATGCCAGGCTCCATAGTACTTATGACTGACTGACAAAAAATATACATTAGATATATATTGTACACATAAAAAACAAACATGCACAAAGGCAGAAGAAAAAAAGAAACTAACATATTTTGTTAAACGGCTAAGTAAATTGAACACTGAAGCTCCAATTTCCAATAATGTGTCTACATGAACACTTGGGGCTGGTAATGCAGTTTGTAATAGTTGAGCTAAAATTTCTCCAAGACCAATTAAACGTAAACAAAATGATTCTTCTTTTTCATTTCCATCTAATTTATTTTCAATATCTTTAGATCCTTGAATAAAAAAAGTGAAGAAATAAAAATGTGATAAAAATATCTCTCAGTTAAAAAAGATAACACTATGAGTGAACAAAAGTACATCAATCTAACTGCTAAAACTGGCTCAAAATATCCTTAAAGATTAGAGAAGTGAATCAATTGGGCCCTGGTGTTCTCTCTTGCTCAAGATTAGCTATGGATACACAGAAGGTTTTGAATATTTTACAAATATCACCCAACATGTAATATCCTAGATTGACAGGTTGTCATAACAATACTAGCATTGGTATTAAAAGGTTTCTACACCATAGATTACATGGTATATACAGCTAGAATGTGGGACGGTTGAGTGTGAACAGTAAGCAAATATATGCATATGCCCGAAACAGATTGATCAAATCTAGTCCTGAACCATACCATTAATAAAAAAGGAATACAAACACTTGTAAATATATATAACAAAAACACAGCAATGTAGACCTTTTTCGACTAAAAAAACTTACCTTTCCCATCAGTCATATCTAAACGACCAGCACAATCAATAGAAATGTTTGTTAAAAACCACTCATATTCATGAATTGAATGTTTTATAGAAGAATAAATCAGTGGTAAAATAGATAGAGCAGAAGAACGAGTAACCAGAGGATAAGTGACTGTTAATTCTTTTTCATCTGGTACTAAACTAATATCCTAAAAAAGAAAACAAAACAAGCAAACAAGATAAACTAATTATGTGTTAAGAAATTGAAGGATAATATATCAAAACTCCTTTTAAATAGCTTTTATCCTATCTTAACACTAAATGATGTTTCTGTACCAATGATTATATAAGTAAAACAGACAAATCCACTCATTTTCAGTGAAAATTATAAGCTAACCCAAATAATAACTAACTATCGCTATGATACTATGATGTGTACATTCACTGGTCAATAAAAAGTAACAGACGTTACATTGTTTAACTTGTAATAACACTGACTGTATTATGATTTAACAACTCAATAAACATTTAACTACATCTCACAATCTGTGATGAGTTCAGGAATACAAGATGATAAGAGAAAGATTAAAGCATATTATAAGGACCCGGTGCAAACTATATTGACCCACGAAACCAGTATCGTCATTATGTAATAACTTGTCATGTTTAGTGTTTTGTACAATAGTAAGTTCATTTACTAAATAACAAGAGGAAATCTAACAGTCGTATCATCTATTTATATTAGTTTATTTAGTCATTTGGATCGCTAATTTAGTTTTGTGAACAGTTGGTCATATTGTACCATTACGTATTATTTATCAGATAACATTCTACCAATCATTTTAACAAATACATACGTAAAATTTAGAATATACTGTATGTGACGAGCCAGTTGAATACATGACGTTTGTTTTATTCTATTTGGGACTAAAAAGTTGGATGTACCTGAAAAATCCATGTTGATGTTTACACTGAGTCACTAACGTAGTACTTTTCGCTTCAAACGCAAACTTGTTGACATCTACTGAGCCCTGAGATCCATAAAACTACTAAATTCTTCAATAGTTATGAATTTATTACTAAAGGATTCTTGGTTTCCTATTGTTAATATACTCAAGACTGCACATGAACCGTCCCTGTTGTCCATCTTGAACGGATTACCTTAATGTTTTGCTTCATATATCACAAGAACGAAAATCATTACTAAAATTCAAAATTATTAACCATAATTCAGTTTTTAGTGTTTGAGTCTTTGTATTGTTGATATTAGGTATTCTCCAATCCATCAGTCTCTTTCGGCAGATGAGCATTGTGACCGGATTGCTCTGTTGTAATACCAGATAAATGATTAACGCTTTTATAACTAAACTTGATTATCATATTTGACATTATTTATTGTAATTTACAAATAGTTTGAGTAGAATTTGAGCAGACTATCAATGCTGAGTACAACAACACATTTCATGTGATCAAAAAAGATAGTCATTATACTAAATGACAAATTATGTTAATACCATTTAATTAGGTGACATAAAGCATTTCTATTATTTAAAACATAGACGATCCTAAGGTTTAATACAATGAAATACCGTGAACATATATACATGGTGTACCACCCACCCACTCTCAGTTTTTTTACGAGGGAAATGTGATACATTGGGCCAATTAGATATCACCTAAGTAGATAAACATAGGCAATTGGCCACGATTTGGCTCTCCTTTCTAAGGAATATGATCTACCCCACTGGTGAAAAAATATAGCCCTTTTCAATTATTCACTTTTATAGGAACGTGTTTTCATATGAATACACATATTCGTTACCTGCATTTACCTTGATGTAGTCTGTTCGATAATTATTGTTATATCACGTCCGATAAAACAGTAGGTTGCGAAACTTCTCGTCATGCTGCACTTACTATGATCTTTCTGAAACGAATTCTTTCAACTTAATTTGCATTTGGCTTTTATTACTAACGTCACTTAATGAGGTTAACCTGACTATAATGTACAAGTAAGATGAAGAATTTATATTTCGTCGTCCATAATGAAGTCAAAGCATTGTTACAAATTGGATACGCTTATTCACTTGGCCAGTCTTTGATTGGTGCACGGTATCAAAGTCCCAGATTCGAACTCCACTCCGCTGAATTAGAATTGGGTAACAGGGTAATATCACCAGCCTTCACACTAATCGTATAGCTTGAAATCAAGTACACGAATATATACATATGTAAAATCAGTTTCCTTCAATAAATATAAGCCAAAACATTAAAAATAAATCACGGACAACTTTTTAAAAGTAAATACACAAACCTTTACACCGGTCACATTACCCAGAACAGTGGTCAAATCACTAGATAATGCAAGAATCAAATCATCCAATGCTAATTCAGCATCTGGAGTTTGTGGATTATGAGGCAAGGAATTCGAACCGATAAGATGAGCCAACCAAATAGCTTGATTAATTAACTGAACACGTGCTGATGTAGCGAGAACATTTGTACTATTTATTTCTGACGAACCACGTAATGGAATTGGAGCACGCATTAATCGTAAAAGCCAGGCTAAAACACGAGATAAACCTGAATATGGATTGATTTTATTCACATCTGGAATTGTTACTTCAGAACCTATGGAAGCACGAGCACGGCATAATTTGACAAGTAATGGTAATAAAATAACTAGATCTTTAGCATGAGGAAAATTAACAGCAGTTAACTTTTGCGTTGACGAATTAGCGGCACCGACTGGATTTAAGACTTTGGTTACCCATGACTAGAGAATAAATAAAACAGAATAAATTATTTTTCAGCTAATTTACCGAAATACAGATTGGCGTAGTTAGCATAGAGTTACTCTCCCAGTAAAAAGGTCAGCCAGACTATTCAGTGATTCAAATTGAGGTAGTTGAGAAAGGGTTTGCACCTGCGACCTAACAGCTGAAATTCGAAAACCTAATTCATTGACTTAAAGCTTCCCAAAATCATGCCACATTCAAAACTGTATTAGAGTTAAAAACAACTTAAAATTATTACAAGAGAATTTTCGTGAAAAAGAAAACAGTAAGCACTTATAAATATTCTAAGAAAAGCTATGCATCATATCAAACAAGATTATTCAACTACGTGAAAGAAATTGACAATTTGTGAATGAGCTACTAATGCACACGTCAATAATTGTGAATTAGGACAACAAAGTTATCAAATAACCGAAAACATTTGATGAGTGAGTTTTAAGAAAAAGTATAAGATCACATGATCATATGAACATTATGGGAATATTAGTAAATATCCAACATTGACAGAGTAGAACAGAGAACCTCCGATTTAAGTTATACTTCACAACACTGTGTGTGGTTGGAAGTTATAACATCCGCACGAACTTCGTGATATGTGACTGTTGTTTACGGTTAGATAATGCATTTGAACGCGTACGCCATACAATATAATTATACTGCAAACCATATAAGTCTGTGCAAAAGATTGAGGGTATTGTCTAGTGTCTACTTGTACGGCAGTAACATGCTGCAAAACGTTTCAGATAGATTTTGCGCTTCGCAACCGCTGCGAACGGATGTGATGAAATATTTGAGTAGTGTAGTAATTATTCACCAACAATTCTGATCGATTGTTAACATATTAATACATCTGATGTCCGATTGCATGCCTATGCCTACTAACCCTGTTCGGCATGGATTACTACGAGAATGTGAAACGGCTCTTTTTAGAGCCGCCTTTAAAAATGATTTAACAGTGTGACACTTTTGTCGACACTGGTAAACGTTTTCGAAATAACAAGGAAGTAATATATGCATAATGATTTTTAATGAATAAATATAAATATTACTGCTGTTATTTGCATACTACTTTAATCATAGTAAGTAAAGATACCAATAGATTGGAAAGATGCACTTGTAACAGAATCGACAGTAGTGAGGGCTTAATTACTTGAATTTGGAAGATGAATCATATAGATTGCGCAATAAGTATAGAAATCTGCACTGGGTTTACATAAATTAAATGAACTTCATTCAGAAATTATGTATGTGATCGGAAATTTCATAATTTTCTCATTAATCTCATTACAATAAATATTTTCCAATGTGATATCAGCCATTACAAAACATTGGTTGACTGTATTATTCACAAAACTGAGTTTTAAAGCTTAATCAGGATTCTTTTGTAACAATTTTAGGTTATTCAAAACTTTGAAACAGTTTCAACGGTGTAATTCCGTGGAAGTGATGCACATTTATTTACAAACGGAACATTTATTTCAAAATTAGAGCATAATATCAGTCAGTTAGAACGTAGGACCAGGCATATATGTGTATCGGTTCAAGTTGCCACTGTACTTCCAACAAAGCATATATAGGTAAATTAGCGTTTTATTGTTTAACTCAATATACTACTGAAAAGTCACAAATGGTACAACAGCTCATAAAATCTATACTAATTACCAAACAATAAATTGATCTGTCCAACATAGATTTTTATTAATAAGATCCTAATAAAGATAACAAGAAAAGATAATACAGTGTGAATTACCTTAACTAATTTAATGAAAGTTGAAAGAGCTTGAGCAGGTGTAATCTCAGCAATCATAGATTCCAAAGATTCATCATCTACATTATCTTCAGAATCACATGGCACGTCAGAATTATTATTCAACATTTGCTCTGTATAATCAGGATCATTAGTTACGGGATAAATAATTTTGCATAATTTATGCAATCTTTGAATGCCTAAATAGTGTAATGCTAATGTCATAACATTATTGATAACTTGCAAAGCAGTTGATGAAGTTGACATAGACGATGTTGGACGAGTTTTTGATGTGTCTGATTGGTTGGCTAACTCATTATCTTCTGCATTACCAATAGTGGTAGTAATATTGGTCGACTGAGTATGACTGGGAAGCGAACTGTGATTTTCACTAAGCATTATTTTATAATGATAAAAACGAATCACGCACCTAAAGCATGAATTTCAACAGATCCGTTACAATAATTAAGAGATATCTATGTTTTAAAATAAAATACTATTCACGAGCACATATGACAAAAAATAACTTCTAAACAAAGCTTTACAGGTTAATCTAATGTATACAGAAGAACAGCTTTTAAATCTTAGTCTTTAGACCAATCACGAAACAACAAATATAAACAGATTATTTATTATGCTATGAATTAGCATAAGAATATGATTTCCGATTCCTGCATTCTAGATGATGTCAGTTCATGATGACTAAAGCACGTAATTCTAAATCATAATACTAACTCCTAACCCAAATTTTGATATTCGCGCTATAACTTTTCTCATTGGTTTGGCTGTATCAGTCAGTCAGTTACAACGTAGAACTTGTACGTATGTATATCGGTTCAAGTTACCATATCCAATTGACAGAGAAAGATGTTGTCACAGGCCAAATCCCAGAATAGTAGAGGTAGTAATAGTAACAGTGGTAACAGGGAAGATTACGCATCAACAATACGACTCGAAAAGATAAATTAGCAGTATATTTTAGGTTAACCACTTTTTACGTAGACTTGTGTCAACAGGCGTAAGTCAGCAAGTTGTGTCAACAGATTGACTCTATTATGAAAGAACAAATGAATGAGTCACAAAATATGAATTCTACGTTTAGTTCTGTTAGGTATTGGTGGCTAAAAAATCGAACTGGATTTGTATTTCAGATCTTCGTCTATGTGCAATCAGACAGACAATAAAAATGAATAGACAAATATAGTGAGAAACCGGACCACTGATAGCCAAAAGACAGCTAGTCGAGTATCAGTCATCTTTTATACAAAATGCTGACCAATCAACCTATAGATAAATATAAACATACGTACTAGCGCAAACATTAAGAAAGTACCGATGGTTTTGCATGTGAACAACTGACAAGGGCAAACATAAGTCTACAGAATAAACCAATGTACACGTTATAAGAAATCTATATCGGTAACACTATAGGCTACATGATAAGCGTGTACAACCAGTTGTTTGTTACAAATCGACATAATGTGTTAATCTTTGTTTCTCAGATTAATCCGAAATTTCATGAATATCATTAACCGTATTAATCAATAGGAAACTTCGGCTTCAAAGTCGAATTCCTGCCATATTTCCTTTACATGATTTAAATGAACAGGAGTTCCCGAAATCAATAAGTCAGTCATCATGTTACTAAGTTTACCATAGTATTAAATTAAATTTAAAATCCTGACATGTTGGACGTGAATATGTATGGTAAGTTGTAAGGTAAAACAAAAGCATGTATGACATTGACACTAGTCAGCTGACCACAAAGAGTAACAAATGAAGTGAATTCATAAATCATTTACCTGAGGCTTTAACGACAATAGTAATGATAGTAAGCGCGTCATCACCGAAGCAAATTGAAGTAGACATTACAGTAATAGTATTCACGTCCCCTAGTTTGGTGTAGAGTATTCTATTTTTTATCATCGTAGCAATTCGGTCGGTCAACATAAAATCAACACGAAGACTATGTGGGCAGTTGTCACTTGCCGACTGCATATAACATCAAATGGTATTTCTTCTTGGAAGACGTGAAAAGAAATTCAGTTGGTTGTGATCTTGATGGCTTGGGAATGTGACCACAGAGCCAAAAGGATAACTAATTTAGGTCAGTCTCACTGCCTTTTCGCAATTAGTTAACAGTACAGCTTCGTACTTCTCAAACCTTACCGTGAGTGCCAGCGATCAGTGAGAAAGGATGTAGTATGTTATTTTCAGGGTCAGAATTTACTGTCATTTCTTCCGTCGTGAGATGACAACATCGCTAGAGATCCTGATTATCCGTGGGAAACACTACCAACAACAAGCTCCAGTATAGTACAACTTCGTACTCAAACCATACTTATTGCTTTCGGTCTTACCGAAATTCAACCAGCATGTAAAGCATGATAAATACCCTAAAGAACAAATATGCCAACCAAAGGAGCTCCATTGGATCATCATAATGGGGAAGTTGTACCACCAAGCCAAAGTACCGGCTGCTTTATTATACAAATATAAAAATGTATTGCCCTCTTTACGAACAAATGAAACGAGAACATAAAAAGACCTACCTGGAAATAATACTTACTTCATAATTGGACCCATCTCGCTAATAAGCGCATCACGATACGCACATGGAATGTCTCCTTCAGCACAACGCGTAAACTGATTTAAACGATTTGAAATGGTTTGTAGTACATGACAGGCTAATGGATTTACTGAGTCCGACCTGATACTTGCAATAAGGATGCTCTTCAAATTTGCTTGTGATAGTGAAACCAAGCTCATGATAAGAAGACCACAACGAGAATCTGAACCATGACGTGATAAGATGCCGTAGTTTTGACTAGATATAACATACCCACCATGTTTTCCATTAAGTAAATTCAGTAAAACTAAACGTTTGGCGAACAACTGACGAATACGAATCCACGCTGGTTGACCAGCAGAACTGGAACAATGTCAAGAACATAGTATGAATGACATATAGATTTCTACATCAGGTGGATGCTCTGGGTATTTATGTTCTCTGTGCAACATGGTTGAGTTGAGTAGCTTTCATTATTGTTCTAGACATGTAGAGGTGAAGTAGGTGCTGGTGATTCTCTCCAGAATAACAATGAAACCTCTTCAGTTCAACCATATAGCTCACAGAATACATCATTAAGATACAGAACAATTTAACGTGGTACTTTTTTATTGACAATGCTAGTTAGACAAACAGATAGATTAGAAAAGGACAGTAACTTACCTAAATATTTTATGAATAGAGAAAAGAAAAATAACAGAAACTAAGGTAGTAAATGAGAATATATATATACAGAGAGAGAGAGAGAGATTAACTCCACCCGGAACCCCGGGGCTACTGCCGGTCCCAAGCCAGGATAAAGGAGGAGAGTTGGTCATGGGGTTAACGACCCCATCCCATATAAAACTAACTCGCTAAAAACGCTAACCAGAAATAGACAGATTGGAAAAATGTGAAATCAACTATAGGGTTAAAATTGAAAATACGAAATTTTAAAACAGCAGAGATGTAATCCAAAAATAGTATGACAACATAGAGAATAAAACTTATATGAAGAAAGACATTGCACACACACACACACATGAAAAATGAGAAATCAATACAAAGAATTCCGGCAAAAACTCATCATTATCGTTATAGAGAACTATCCTATTGCTCACAACAATGATTATTATGAATAAATTAATATACTTGTAACACCTTAATGAGTAGAAAAATTGAATTTTCTGACGTTTCATGACTCAATGTAAGCCACTTCTTCAGAGGATAAAATAATCAAATTAAATCTAATTCAAGTTAAAATAGTACAAAGGAACAACACAAGAATATTAATGATTATTATGGTCAACAACCGATGAGTTATCACTTTTAATAAGTATTACTATCCATGTACGAGTGGCGACTAATATCCTTCCTAAATCGTTAACTTTTTGAATACAAAAAGCATTCAAAGAATAGTTTCGTAATGTATACAAGTCTGTCAATTATATCCAACGTAGAATTTGATACATATGTGCTATACCACAAATTAACACAATAAGATAAAATTATTTCAAGACAAATCCTATGACATTAAAAGTAGTAACATTATTATTAGTAGTAGCAGTAGAAAACACTAGGTGTAGAAGAAAAGATTTAGGGAGTCAGATTCTAAAACAAGCAAATGCAACTGTACCATTTCAACAGATCCTGATTTATCCCAAAAGTTTCCAACTATCGGTTATGATAATCACGCTGATCCTAACAAGACAGTTTGCACCTGTTAACATGGCTCAGTCCAAAAGTCAGTGTCTTCATAGACTGGCGTTACACCTTCTTTTAGCCGCCCGACCCTTTTTAAACCTACTCCCAGACCAGACAGCACTGCCCATCGAGGTAGGCAATGGTTGAACATACATAATATATGTCCCAACCACCTCATTTGATGAAGATCCACTACCATATCGATCGATCTGCCAAATTTATCTAGTATCCTATGTCCAAACTTAATGTCCCCAGAATATATGAGCGATGCTCTAAAGAAACTTGTGATAGAATACTAGTATTCTAAGAATATCTATTCTTAATAGCCATGCTTCGCACCCATAAAGTAGAATGGAGAGAACTCGTGGTAAACTTCTTTGGCTGTTAGATGAATATCTTACCTACACTATAGGTGACGCAAGGTACCAAAAGCCAACCGAGTTTTCTGAATCCATGTTGAGATTTCACCAAACACCAGAACTTAAGGATTGATGAGACTCCTAACGTAAATGAAGGGATCGATTCACCTAACTGTTTCATTTGCTAACACTGATGCATATACAGGATATCCAAAGCAGAGACAACAATATTAGCAAATGTTGTCATGAATGTTATCTATGTAACAATATTTTACCTAAAACAATACATTAAAATGTGTTAGTGCCATAAAAACATAGCCTTCTTCACTATGCGAAACGCAATGAGTAACTAACTACAAATGAGTAATCTATAGCCATCATCATTTATATTCTATCTGAAATTAACAATTATAATGCAACTCCCAATGATTAGACTTTTGAACACAACTGTGAAAGACTATTTATTGGCTGTTCAAATTTTAAAGCGTAGTAGAAATTGAAGAATACTGACCAAAACGACTATAAATATAATTTCAAATCAACCACACAAATACAAAGTCCACGTTAAATCCTCCTATTATGTTGAATAAACATTAAGAAAAAACTCACTTTTGATTGGTAAATTGTGATTGAATATTATTATTACTATTGATATGTGTTACACCACAGCCTAATGGATCTTTCAATTCGAATTCTAAACACGCATCATAAATATTGATAAGCAGATGAACACGATCACGATTTAGTTTACCAACAGCTGACGAGCTAAAATCAGTTTCTGTTGTCTGAAACATTGTGAAAAGACGTTTACTAATTAGACAACTGTATGTATATCATTTCAGTTTTAATCAATAAATATTACTAGTTTCTACTATTTTTGAAAAATTATTGTTGTAATCGAGTTTAAAACTTGAGATTGACAGATGTAGACAGAATAAATCTTGTGGAATAGAGAATTAGTCACAAGTTTATACGACAGAAATCAGAATGTAAATATTTCAACCCCAGGATTCCCTGGTACGGTCGAGGGTGGGTTCAAATCCCACTGTCCCCGAAACATGTATAGACAACGAGGTATCCAGATCATAAGATCCCCTCGGTTTGCCAGAAAATATGTCACATGCATCAAATAATAGTCCAGATCCTGGTGCAGTTTTGTCGCACGCTGATTATCCAAGTGATCAACTATCTACTGATGAGATTTTCAAGAAATTCTACAACAATGTTTCAGAAGATTCAAACTCTGATGACTTCGAATTGAATGGCGTTTATCCTTACTATCTCGTCAGTCTTACTGGATTCCCTGTTCAATATGTGTTATAAATGCAGTCAAATTAATTTTAATTTGGGTTTATGAGGACCCAACATTATTTCGCGGGGGAGGGTGGACGCGGAAAATTTTAAAATCCGGATATTCAAAAAAAGGGAAGTGTTGGGATATTCAGAAAAATATCCCAATAATTATCCTGTTAAGTCTAATAGTGGCCTTGGAATTTAAATGGACATTTCCTATTGGCCATTATTTATTTCACTTGTCAAATATTGTACAAATGTTTTTTTCTGTTTTATGGTACGATGTGGTCTGTTTGATTGGTATATAAACAGAGTATGTCTGAAATATAATGATTCATATCTCAGAGGCTGAGACTTGTGTTCTGGACTCAACTGGCTGGGCTAGACAGGGAAGCAGGGCCAATCGGGACTCTAAGCCATTCTTACGTGTCTTACGCGTCTTTGAATCGATCGATAATTCGCTAACCTCCAATCTGCAGCAGTCCCACGTTGCAACACCCTCTAGGAACACCATCTATTTCGGTTCGAGCGTCCCAGCAGTATTCCAGCCCTCACAAAAATCGAATGACGAAGCCCAACGCGTATATTTTCGGTGGCTCCTTATACCAATGTTTATATGTTTAAATAAATAAACAAAAACTTTATCGTCCTACACTTTTGAGTCAAAGTAATCATGTGGTGTTAGCTACTTATATTGATATAAGTAGTATATAACGTGCGTTAAAATAACGTAATGTCTGGCAGCGGAAGATGGCGAAGATCAAGAAAGGTAGAGCGAGAACACAATGGAATTTGTAAGACAATGCATGAACAATGGAATGGGAGACAATGGAATGGTGTTTGCAACAGAAACAGGCCAGTTTGTTTTGATGCATGAATATTTTGCAAATTGACGATTTACTACATGGTATTCAGATTTTGTTGAGATAAACTGTAATTGTTGTGCTAAATACATCCGTTTGTCCCCACCCGTATGTCGTCTGTTCTATACATATATGGAAAAATTATTTCTCAAATTTTACGGTACAGAAATCTTATCTCCCTAGGAAATATTGCTAATTTGTGGTCAAACACTCGTTTTACCTTTATTTTCATAGTTCAAAATATTTGCAGAACTTCTCAGAAGTTTGACCCTTTGGTTTCCATGTCATTGTCAGCTCTAAATATTTTATTGTGCTCGTGTACACAGATTTTTCCTAGTTTCGCCCGTCAGGGATAAATCAAACAGTGAATCAACAGTGGGAAAGTGCAAGTGGCCGTAAAAGATTCTATTAATATGGGAAGTTGACAAATATTTTGGATTTGGATACCCCTTTTAGTCTTCATAGACCATAATGACCAGTTTAATCTACTCAAAGTGTTACTCTTTTGATGAATTATCGCCGCACGACATATGGAAAAACTCTGCAGTTCCTTTATCTTGGGTAGTTATTGTGTTTATTAAATGAAGCATTTATCTCTTATCCTTGCAGACATTATTTAAATAAAATGTGACATCTGAAACAAAGATGTACCAATTTAAAACTGTTCAGCTTTAGCCCATAGTCAAAGGAGAAAAACTAACGATTACTCGGTACATCACAATTTCTGATCATAACACAACAGCTATTCCAACCAGTAACCTAAAATTGGACAGAGAGTCTACTGAGCCATTTTCAAATCCTTAACCATCACTACAGAGATTGCAAATAGACAATGCAGTTTTGCTTAAAAAACATACAATGTCTGGTTGAAAATAAGGATCTTTTCCTTGAAACTCAACAGACCTCTAATAAAATGGCTTTATGTAAACACCCAAAGAACAGGTTTGTTATGAGCATTAACGAAAATTACTACTCATAAATGGATATATATACATATATAAAGTAGTATTATTACCAGTCCAAAATCTTCTTTTGACAAAAGGCGCAGTGAGTCTGATATGGAAATCAGTAAATTAACCGCTTTCGAGAATAAAGGATAAGTAACCAAACGACCGCATTGTATGGAATTGTTTAATGTGGATTGTGTAAACTGACTAGCAGTTTCACTGGATAAATCAGAAGAAATTTGTGATAATTCACTTCCACTATTGGAAGTCTCACGAGAATGTAACCGCTTCCAGGATAAATTAAATATTGGTAATGTCAAGATGAGTTGTAGACACCAAATTAAAATATCCTAAAAAGAAAAGAGTGAGAAAAAGGGGAAACAAGCATGATTACGAAATGATAACTAAACGGATTGCCGAAATCATCACAGATATCAAAGAAAAATGAATCTACTAATAATAACAATAATACCACTCGCTTAATCCAATGATGTTTGGTTATGGTAAAAATTCTTAGCACAACAGTGGTTCTGAATCTCAATAAAATTCAACAATCCCCACAACCCTGATACTGATAATTATCAGGTGACTAGCTTTGAGAGGAAATCTAACTAGTGAATGGCTTCAAGAGGTATATCCTGGAGTTCTAGTGAGAAGTAGTGACCAGTGGAGTTTAACCAGGTCTGTTATAAGATAGTAACTCACTGAAGACAATGATGGATGTATCGCTAGATTTCGTGGATTAGTTGAAGTTAAACATTAACACCGTTGGATGCCGGCTCAGTGGTCGTGTTCAAGTGCTTGCGCGCGAAACCAGTAAGTCCTGGGTTCGGATCTCGCAGGGGGGCGAGGTCGTGGATGCGCACTACTAAGGAGTCCCACAATAGGACGAAACGGCCGTCCAGTGATTCCAGGTTTTCCATGGTGGTTTAGTTTTAACTGACTCACGATCTTAACCATTAAAATAAATATGTATTTGTAAACATATGAGAGCGATATGACGGGATAAAAAGATGACATTAATTTTGTTAATATTTTTGGGATCAATTCTTTATGAATTCCGGACAAGGTGACAAGTATGAACCTCGTTTAATGCGACAACTATATTCCCTGGATCAATTCAGATGAACTATATTCAGTGTGTGTTTTTACGGTTACTCTATATCTGATATTATTGACTGTGTAAAAACTAGTACATAAACTATCGTAAGCAGAGATGGATAGTGGCTAGCAGTGGAATCCAGGACGCGCGTTTCGTCCTGTTTGGGACTCATCAGCTGGATGTACCTGCATCTCAGAGTTAATGTTCACTCTGGGACTCGAACTCAGTACCGTTCGCTTCAAACGCCATCGCGTTATCCACTTAGCTACTCAGTCCTGATAGCCACTTGCTTGTGCAACGGGGTGAAGTTTAATTCACTTGATATTGTTTTATTTGAATCTTCCCATTGATGTTTTAGGACTGAAGTTGATCAGTCTCTTATTGGCATATGTGCATACTGTGCGTATGCCTCGATATCGCCTTAATTCACCCCATTGCACAAGCAAGTGGCTATCAGGACTCAGTAGCTAAGTGGATAACGCGATGGCGTTTGAAGCGAACGGTACTGAGTTCGAGTCCCAGAGTGAACATCAACTCTGAGATGCAGGTACATCCAGCTGACGAGTCCCAAACAGGACGAAACGCGCGTCCTGGATTCCACTGCTAGCCACTATTCATCTCTGCTTATAATGCTTGTAAATTAAGGCGATATCGAGGCATACGCACAGTATGCACATATGCCAATAAGAGACTGATCAACTTCAGTCCTAAAACATCAATGGGAAGATTCAAATAAAACAACATCAAGGGAATAAACTATTGTATTTCGGCCTAATGACAATATGATTTGGGGATTTGTTTGGAAGTGTTTTTATCGGAGTCAATTATTCTTCATTACACCAGTCTTTCAAGTTCTTATTTTCCGTCGTAAGAATTGTAGTAGTTACCAGTTGTCAAGTAAATCAGTAAAAGCGCGAACTCAATAGAGTCGACACGTAAATTAAGAGTGATGATACACGAATATATCAGACACAACAGATAGGCCAAGCTATAGTAAATCAGAATTCATCTACTCTCTATAACCTTTTGATAAACCTTGTGGTCAATTTTATCACCCTTCAGGCAAAGTTATTACCAAATTAACTTAGCTCATTAACCAAGTATATAGTTTTGTGTGACAATGATAGTATTCAACTGGAAAAAATTCGAAGTGTTTTGTTTTAGCCGTTACGACACCGCTGAATATTTGAGCTTAATTGTTGCAAGCTTGAGTTTATTATGATTGAATGATTTTCACACCAACTATTTGACAGTACTGTATAGAATTCTATATAGTTGAAATTTCAAAGAAAAACGCTTGAATATAACCAATTATGCAATATATTAATATAAACTAGTAGTGAGATAATATTTCATGTTACCATTGATATCAATGGACGTGAACAACTATGGACATCAAATTCGACTGTAAAAATCCCGAAATTCGAAAATCAGAGAAACTCACAGACAAGTTTTACTAGTATGACATTCAGATCAATCGGCAATAAGTAGATACATCAACAAAGAATCAATCTATCAACCTATACAGAAGGGGTCAATCAATCAACATGAAAGGTAGTCAAAATGGATGCAAGAATAAATTAAGACAACAAAATCTACGAAGATAATCGAACATAAAAAACACCATCAGAACAACTGATTTACCATTTGTAGAATTATTACGAGGTTCACTTCCATATGCAGCGGACGCTGATGATACTGTCCACAACAATCAAAGACACGTAAATAAACAATCTAACACAGAGGACAAAACATGACTAATACTAGAAAAATAATATACATAAAAAAGTGATTGCTGTTCATTAATTAATTTCACCAATCCTTCGTGCTACAAAATCTATTAAAGACACTGATTATGTTTGTGTATTGGCCACTTACGGGATGTTCAGTACGCAGGATCTCATTACCGACAGAAGTGTGATCAATTAATTTATTTAAAATAAATGGTGGACTATGAATAAAATCAACATTTGTCGGATTCATTTGTGTAGGTGGTATATTCAGTGAATTTTGTACATTAGACCGCTTCAATGTTTTCAGAAAATTCGGCTCTAAACAACCAGTAAGAAGGCGTAAGTATAGATTTAATACAGGTTCACACAGACCTCGATTACGTGTAACAACTTCGCATAGACCCTGAGAAGAGAAAAAATCAAGTTATTTTTAAGAAAATTGGTAAACAGAAAGAAGGCTAATAAATGAACAAAACGTAATATAATATGATCAGAAATTGGTGTTATTTGAAATATCCCGACAATGATAACTATAATTGCATAAATGTTAGTTTCGGTTACTGACCGATACCAGATAGAAAGGGTTGAGAGGTAAAGAGTAGTTGTTTAGTGTTTCTTAGTTTTCAATAGTTTTCCAGCTGATGTTAATGTGTCACATACATTTGTTATGTCTTATGTCCCTGTCAAATATCACACGACAAAAATCGACAATCAGAATATCGATTTTTCAGACCTTGTGTCCGTGTGCTAAACCAATGACATCTCAACCAGGACTAGCAGCCATGAGTCAACTTTGGATTCTTATTGGTTCTTGATGTAGTTACTTTCCGCTTAACCCAACCTATTGAGTCTAGAACACAATATTCGCCTACACTGTATGAATAATATATTTCAGACATGCGTGGTTTATATACAAGTAAACCAGACCGCATCACACCATAAAATGAAAAATAATTATCATACAAAAGAAAGCCGAAAATGGTTGTGAGTATGAGACTGTAACTAATGGATTGAGAATAAATTGGAAATGGTAGATCTGATAATAGTGGCTAATACGTCAAATAAAAGTGTATGATGAAAGATATATACAGTCACAAAAAGAATGCATATAATAATAGTCTATGAAAAATTCCCGGAAGTTGCCATTTATTCAATATCCTTTCGATGAAACACTATTCTTTTCCCTCTCCGAAATTCTAAGCTCCAAAATCTTTTTATCTCACTGATTTACATTTCTGAGAATCCTATATTCGATGCCTAACCTTCCCTGTTACCACTGTAACTGTTAATACCTTTACTATTCTAGGATTAGGTCTGAAAATTCCATCTCTCTGTGCTAATAGGTTATGGTAACTTGAACCGATGTACATACGTACAGGTACTACATTACAGCTGACTGACTGATATCAATTTACGATCTTTTTAAAAATAACTTCAAATCGAACAGTTGAATCCTTTAAAATCTAACTTATATGAACGTTAAACTTGATTAGGAATATTGATGCAATATATGAATTGAACCAAGTATTTAATGTGCTCGAGGATTCAGAACAAACGATTGTGTCATTTATAAAATCGCAAATTACAGCAAAAGATTTGCCTACAAACCAGTAACATTATTAATGTAATATACAATTTAAGAAAGTCAATTCGTAAAGTTTGTAAGAACGTCAAGTGTTAAAACCCAATGAAAGATAATGTGCGTATCGTCTTATTTGGGACTCGTTAACTGGATACATCTGGATCCCAGAGCTGATGTCCACTCAGCGACTCGAACTCAGTGCCGTTTGCTTTAAACGCAATCGCATTATCCACTTAGCTATTGAATTCAGATAGTCGCTGATTCGTGCAATAATAATGGAGAGTTCGAACTAGCTGAAGAGTAAAACAGTATGTAGCAGTTAGACATAACAATAAGTGGGAGGCGATAAAATGTTCAGGATTTTGAAGATTGCGATTTAAAGTAAATACATCTGGACAATTGTGACTGATTTTCAGTAATATCAACATCCCTTTCCAACAACTGAAATCTGCCGACATCTTCAGCAGTTGGCGACTTTATAGATTGATAAGATCATCAAGGACTACCTTTCAACTGACAATTTTCTACAAGTTTACAAGTACTATATTGGGAAGAAGTATCGATCTTATAAGTCGTACTGTTGTGTGATGGATAGTGATACTACTCGACTAGCCAAACCTAGGTAATTGGAGATAAGTTTGAACCCATTGTTTGAGATGCCTGTTTTAACTAATAGGCTGCTTGTTCATATCCATGATTTTTTCCGACTAGAAACAACTTTGTGTGCTTTATATAATCGCTTACAGATGTCAACGTTACATTACCGAACTAGATTCTTAGTGATTGATAAAGTTACTTACTTATACCTGTTACTCCTAATGGAGCATAGACCGCCGACCAACATTCTCCACAACCCACTCTGTCCTGGGCCTTCTTTTCTAGTTCCATCCAATTCTTGTTCATTTTTCTCATATCTATTTCCATTTCCCGGCGTAATGTGTTCTTTGGTCTTCCTCTCCTCCTTTGGCCTTGAGGATTCCATGTGAGGGCTTGTCTTGTGACGCAGTTGGGTGCTTTCCTCAATGTGTGTCCTATCCACTTCCAGTGCTTCTTCCTGATCTCTTCCTCCGCTGGGATCTGGTTTGTCCTCTCCCAGAGTACGTTGTTGCTAATAGTGTCCGGCCAACGAATCCGAAGTATTTTGCGTAGACAACTGTTAATAAACACCTGTATTTTCAGGGTGATTGCTTTCGTAGTTCTCCAGGTTTCCGCCCCATACAGTAGAACTGTCTTGACATTTGTATTGAAAATCCTGACCTTGGTGTTGGTTGACAGTTGCTTTGAGTTCCAGACGTTCCTCAGTTGTAAATATGCTGCTCTTGCTTTACCGATATGCGCCTTCACATCTGCATCAGATCCACCCTGTTCATCAATGATGCTACCTCTTCCAAATCTTCTCCGTCAATTGTGATTGGATTGGTGCATGCTGTGTTGTATCGGAGAACCTTGCTCTTCCCTTTGTGTATATTGAGACCTGTTGCTGCTGATAAAGTATAACACCACAATTCAACTTTAGTTTTTGTACTCCAATGACTTAAAATGCAGTTAAATTAAAGGTCTGTTCAAAAGTAAAATTTTATTTTAGGACTCATTATTGATGACATTATTTGTTAGTAAATAATATTGAAATCCAACTCAACAAAATAATTAGCGTACGAAACTTACCCAGTATATATTAGACTTAACGATATTCTCTGGATCTGCTAATAGACTACCTGGTTGAGAACGAAAAAATGCTGAAAATATAATACGATGAAGTATGCTGATTATTTCTGTGCACAAAACTTCATTTTGTACAATATCACATGGCAATAAGACAGCTTGTTGAGCAATCTAAAATAGAACACCAAATAGGTAGAGAGAAACAAAAAGAGAAAAGTACCAAAGATAAACAGGTAGATGAAATTATTTGTGTTTACAGTTCAGGGCGAAGCACTAACCATATCTGAAATAATTAAATGATCAATAACATACAACCCCAAATGTACACAAAATACAATCCATTTAATTTTTAAGTATGCTAACACATTTTGTCATGGTATTCGTCATGCACTGATATCATTTTGGGTGCACTCAAAAACCAGGAAACATTGAGAAGCTGTTTAATTCTAGTGTTATAATATATAATAGTCCACACCCACGACCACTCAAATATCAACAAAGGGACTTCAGGTATCACAATGAGTAATTCATTGTTAGCACCGAGTCAGTGCCTCATGGTACATATTTCCAGTATAAATCAATCTATTACATAACGTGATAATCATCCAATCCCATACGCAAATTCAGACCCCCTTTGTGTATTCAAAAGCAGTTTGTTCTCACCTTAAACCTACCCTGGTAATATTGACTTATTGTTATCCAGAGTGATTAGGTTTCAAATTGTGTCCACATTATTATTATTAGTCTTATTATTATCATCGTCTCCTCTTACTCCCATTTTCAGTCTAGTTGATCTTTTATTTTTATATATAAATGTTTTTAACAGGTATATATGTGATCAGATTGTTCGAAATGTATTGCTCTAATATATCGTCTTCTTATTACATTATTAACATTCATCAAAGGGACTAATTGCTTTCAATTTATAAAGTTTGTCTTTTAAACTTCAGAGAAAGTAAATAAATGCAACCAATTAATTATTATATGTTATTGAGGGACAAATACCTAGTATATTTGAACTCCCTAAACTGTCCTACATGAAATTACTGTTTATAGATTTGTTGTATAATAACAGAATACTTATATTATTGAATTCCACTACATGTCAGCTTTTGATTGACGCATAAACTCTTTTTATGTGCTTTACCTTTCCGAACCTATGGTTAATTTATTAATAATATATCATTCTGTCCTCATCAACTTACGGCGTAGTTATGTCGAAATTACAATTTCGTAAGTACATTGATGAATGGCCAGGATTTTACTCTATATCACTGCATGAGTGATTCCTAAATTCGAACAGCATAACCAGTTATCTGTACGCTGTGTTATTTTCTATTCTGGCTATTGAGCGAATGAGTTTGAGAAACTGCATTCAAGGTCAACAATAGTTAAGGGTCCTAATATACAAGTAGGGGTCAAAATCATCCTGAGATAACCATAGAGAGTAGTTTGACTAATATATCAACTAAAATACTAGCCCCAATAATTATCGGGCGCCTAACAAAGATTCGTTAACTGCAAACACGAGAAAACCAAGCTGTTTCAGATCCGGTCGTGGCTTCCTCGACCACATATTCACAATTCGATAAGTTCTAGAAAACAGGCATGCTTATCGACGTGCGACAATGGTAGCTTTTCTTGACATATTCATGTTTGGCGAGGACGTTGATGAAATGCAGAGTCTTTCGGTAGCACTGAGCAACAATACCAGGATGTTTGGGATGCGTTTCTCTCCCTCTAAATGCAAGTTGTTGCTCCAGGACTAGCCTGCATTAACACTCGAACGAAGGATAGGGAGTGTAGTCGAACGTGTCGACAACTCCACTCATCTTGGAAGCCTGATCAGTCCTGATGGGTTGGTGTCTGACGAAATCTCTGCACGGATTCGAAAAGCTCGTTTGGCTTTTGCTAACTTACGTTACCTATGGCGAAGGCAAGATATCCGTCTATCAATTAAAGGACGAGTATACTGCGTGGTAGTTCGTTCTGTTTTACTTTACGGCTGCGGCTGCCACTAAGGGTAGACGATACTTGTAAGTTACTAGTATTTGACCACAGATGTCTTAGAAATATTGCTTACATCTTCTGGGATCACTCGGTAAGTAATAGTGAGGTTAGACGTAGAGTGTTAGGGAATGATGGCAAATCAGTTGATGAAGTTATGAATCTTCATCGACTGAGATGTTTGGGCCACGTATTACGCATACCCAACCACCAACTACCACGACGCGCAATACTGGCCAGTGTTGAGGATGGTTGGAAGAAATTTAGGAGCGGCCAAACCAAAACGTGGTATCGATGCTTGAAGTCACTAACTTCTAGTCTGAGCCATGGTGGTAGGTGGTACTAGATAGACAGTTTAGATGCACTGATAAATACTTAGATTTTATCAATACAATTGCTCTCCTGTATAAAGGTGAGATCACACAGACCCCAAAACTGGCACAAAGAACTATTTATTTTTACCGATGCGTCCAACCATATATTCTGAAAATATTATAGTCCTTGCTTATTCGGAACCGAGTTTGTTTACATAATTAAACTCTTTGAGCATAGTCATTTAGGAGTATGACCTCAAACAACTGAACGAACTTTCATGATTATTCTGCTATCTTGACGCGATGGTTGGGCTTGTGCATCGTGATGAACCAGTCAAACTATATTGGCTGGGAGATTTGTTTCTTTAGATCTTACTATACCACGCAGGTTAGTTGAACAGATCAAAAACTAAATGTAGCAAACCCATAGTTTAAAGCTTGAGGCGTAATGCCTACTGTATCGAAGTGTGAAGGCAATGAGATGTTTCCTCTTGGACAACTAAAATCCCCAGAAATGCTGTCTTCTCAACGGAAAATGTTAGAAAGTGGTCGACTTTAAAAATAGCGCATTTCACTTTACGCGACGGATTTTCGTCTCTGACAGTAAGGTCTTATGAAATATGGATTTAACATATCTAAAACCACTCACATAAAGGCCAAGTTTGACCGACCTCATATAGTTGTCTTTTGGACCATGGAGTTACTTCCCCACGAATCAAAGACCACCAGTAATCCAGTTTTACTTAGAGATATTTAAAGAAGTATCCTTCCATAGTGAGGGCAACCACGAAGTGACAATTATCTTCATAGCTTTAGCAGCACTCAAGCTCACCTCAGTGAGTAGCTCTGAATTGTATAAATTATGCTGATCTTCTACAAGAGATCTGCTTCTAGCTCAAATATTAATGATCCTTAATCATTTACGACATTTAGTAATATTTAAAAATGAAAAATTCACATCATAATTACACAGTAAGGTAACTAATAATTAAAATAATTTACCTGTGTCGATTGTAACTGACTAAATAACACTAATGGATTTCTTTGTGTTGCTTGAGATTGTGAATAAACAAACGGTTGCGATAGTGAACTTGATGATGAAGAACGTTGTGACGCTGAACGAAATGATGATACTGGCACCTAAACAAAAGATCTTTGTTATATCCTAGTGAAAATTAAATTACGAGTAACTTCTCAGATCTATTAATGGGCTAATATTATATATATTCTTATTGTATAACCGTCCAGTAACTAGATTATGTATATCTATATTCCTCTTATCATAAGCTTCATTTTGACCTATAGATCATTATCATACGATTCACTGTTCCTAAATTGTTCAGTTTATTAGTTACCATCTCCTACGTTCAATCACATTTTGGCTTTATTGTGTATAAATGTTATTTTATAGTGTGATGCGGTCTGCTTGTCTGATATATAAACCATGTATGTTTGAAATAAACGAATCGCATAGTGGGAACTGGTATTGGTGTTCTGGACTCAACTGGACAGGCGAGGAGAACATAGGACCAATAAGGACGTTAGGCTGCTTAAACCGGTCGAACTTCATTGGTTTAGCAGTGTGAAGATTGTATAAGTCGTATCTCGCTCGGCGGATAAATTACGTGATAAAAAGCCGAACTTAAAGACAAAAAATTTTCAACAGTCAGGAACAGAAGAGTCTAACAAAACAAATGTAACTTTTTTATCCTTGTAGCATTGAGACTCCACTCTAACGTGAAAGGCTAACAGGTATTTCAAAATTTTATAATAAATGACCCTATCTAAATACTAACTCTAATAGGACAGCTAATAAATGACTAAATTACTTGCTTCAACCAATAAAGTCACAGGTTTAAGCACTCAATTTCCACTAACATTTGTTTAAGCGGTTGTATAATACTTGTAGTAATTAGTGTTGCTGGCCTCTGAATGCCCTGATACGGTCGAGGGTGGGGAGAGTCAGCTCTCCCTCTCCAAATGCTCTCACATGGCCACAAGTATACAGACACTGTCATGGAAGTTCTACTGACTGCCTTCAAGTGGTGTTGTTTACGAAATTGAGAAAACGTAAACCGAATGTCAATAGCTTTGACTGAGTCGGTGAATATGGAGGACCCACCTAAGGAAGTTGGAAAACCCTGATTCTCAACCACTGGTGCAAATGGGCTCCACAATCCCGAGAGTACAAATGGCGTATGAACCTATTGTTGGTCACCAGCTACCGTGGGACTTCACCTCCTGACGTTGCTCTACTACCTTGCGGATTAGACCTCTAGGTCAAAGGTTCGGGAAGTAGCCCCTCTAAGAAAACCACCCGCTTCGGTTTGGGCGTCTGGGCAGTATCCCAGCCCCCACACAAATCAAATGACGAAATGTGACGCAAATATATTTGATGCCTCCTTGTACCAGTGTTTAAATAAATAAATAATTTGTATTTTTAGGGGTTTACGTCATTTATTCTAACATTTTGGAGAATGAATTACTCGAATCTCTTTAGTCATTCTGTTATTTATGTACATGACCTTGAGGGTGTGTGTATAATGTACGTGTGTGTTTATATATCTAATTGCATATATCATAACTAAAAAAACTGGGGACATTTGTATCCCCCGCTTCCTATCCCATTATTGTTCATTTGCATTAGCGAATGCATAAAATTCATGTACCCCAAAACATTTATGCTCAACTTTTGATATCCAGTTGCTCTAAACGTTTTATAACGACAGAATGTATACGCAGATATGTGAGATAGATATTTCATTCATATAACTATCGTTTGGTCATACCGGAGTCTAACAGACACTAAATATGCTTAGTAAAGATAAAGTTGAATATATATGTGTATGTTTAATAAATGATTCAATTCAAAATAATGGATTATAAGTGGGATTTATTTATTTAAAAAAACAAAAACAAATGATCAACTCTTCGGTGTTTGATTGTAACAGTGCTGGAGGACATTCAGTCAATTTTTAATTAGGATTAAAGTGGACAGTTACGAAGTGTAGGAAAATTTATTATCTTCTGAGCATTCAAACACAATCAACGAAAGAAAGAATGTTTAGATAACCGTCATTCTAAAATTTAACACTAACTACGTATTACTCAATTATACCCAACGACACTCGAAATTTTGAATACCTAATGTTCAAAGATACACAGAAAACATATATAAATAAACACATGTTTTCCCGTACGTCAACACCAATTGTAGTAGGGAATAAGCCTTTAAATTTGTTTCATCTTAATAGTTTGGGGATGGGTCAACAGTTATTTGGGGAATAAGATATCTTCGTTTGAAGAGTGATGCGTTATATCCACACTTATGTTGATATTCCCATTTGTGTAAATAATATTTATCATAAAGTATACCTAACCTCGTGGAACAAGTTCCTACAGATATCTATTCTCCTTTCATTTGAGAATTCTGAGGTTGATGCAAGATAATTTAACAATTACAGAAAATAATTTAGACCATTTTATTCCCAAATAAAAAACAGAATTGTAATTTATGATATACAACAACTCACTTTTAAATGTTTTAATAAAAGTATTAAACAAGCTACCGCTGCGCATCGACTAGGTATCCTTGGTGATTGAGCAGCTTTGCACAAATTACTTATTAATCGCATACGAACTTGACTAAACGGATTATCACTTTTTTCACTATCGACATTATTTTCTATTTCTAATAAACTACCAGCACGTATCAATGGTAATAAAGCGTGTACTAATGCAGTTGAAATTGATAATGGTATTAGACCGATTGAATCAATGATTGAATCTAAACGATTAGCTCGAATTGCTACCTCCAAAGGGAATACAGCAACCAAATTACTTAGAAGATCTAGAAAAGCAGAAGACGAAACGACGATTTTTTTTAAAGATTTAATACAATGAAAAGTAAACTGTTTAACAAAACAGTATGGATAGATTTTTGAGAGAAATAGTACGACTTTAATTCATACGCTTCAATGAAAGATAACAACACAAAGCCTGAAGAATTCGGGCAAAATCAAGAATCTATCCAATTAAAATCTTTATTGAAGATCAAGTCAAGTTAACTACTTGAAGTTCACTCGATTCATTGTAATTTTTTGGGGTTATAATAAACACAAACCAGTATTCAGATTGAAATGAAGTCATTACAAAGTGATCAAAAGTAAAACTTTCATAATTCTGGCAAATTACACCGATTACATCTTACTGGAACTTGAAATTGTTCAGTAAAATTTAATGAGATTCACTAACAATTGAAGGATTTATTAGCATTAATACTAAATCGATTATACTGTTTAGTCATTAATGTTGATTAAATTATACGTTCATTAAATTAAGACCTCAAGTAATTAGAGCTTAATAATTTGATATTACAATATATAACATACTCTTTGGTTGATAGTGATCAGCAGAAACCTTTGATACCATTATTTTTTCAGGTAAATTTATTCATTGAATGAATAGAATAAAACAGACAAATGCTAACTATCAGAGAACGCTGAAAAAGCGTTCCAATTCAAAAGGTAAGCGGTAATAAAATATTCAATGAGACATAAATTTCTAAGGTTTTCTTTGTACAGATATCCTAGATGAACGTTGATTATGACAATTCAAAGAATGCTGGATCTAAAACCAATGATCCACTTAATGATCACAGTACCTCAAGTATCATATCATCTTACTGATAAACAAGCCTCTTCTTCATTTTGAACTTATTTGGCTTGTCCTCGTTCGACTACACTCTCTCATCAGAACTGTTATGGATGCAGAGGAATATACCAATCATTATCATGGTTAAGTCTAATGATATCCTTGGACTTTAAATGGACATTTCCTATTGGCCATTATTTATTTCACTAGTTAAATATTGTACAGATGTTGTCTTCTATTTTTATGGTACGATGTGGTCTGTTTGGTTGGTATATAAACAGAGTATGTTTGAAATATAATGATTCATATCTCAGAGGTTGTGACTTGTGTTCTGGACTCAACTGGCTGGGCTAGACAGAGAAGCGGGACCAATCGAGACACTAGGCCGTCGTACGTGTTTACGTATTACTGAATCTGATCGATAAAACGCTTCACTCAAATCTGCAGTCTCACGACACAACAAGAACATTAACAGAACCATTTACAAGTAAGTTAATGAGATAAGCAATAGATTGTTCTTTAGCTTGGGGACAGTTTTATAGCAGACGAATTAATACTTAGAAAAAGTCATAAATAGCAAAGTTCAAACACGTCGGAAATGAGACACTTAACACTAGTAGTATTGGATGACCATCAGCTGTTTTTAATAGACTGAAGTCAATATTGTGCCAATGGAGAATGACCTAGTATTTCTAATGGTAAAGCGTCCCTAGCAAGACTTAAAGGCCTCAGGTTCGATCACTGGCGCGTCTGTGAATGGCGATTGCTCAGGTGCTTTATGTTAGGGTGAAATAGCTGACCAAAACTTTATGATTTTTGATGGTACCCCGACTGACATCAATCTATGGAGAATACAATCTACAAAAATTATTTCAGCCTAGTTAAGAATTGAGTAGAAAAGTCGACATAATTAAAACAATATCTTAAAACTGATTAAAAAATAACTAATAACAGTAGCATAGAGCTCACCTAATGCATACAGAGCTATAGATCGACTTGATTCACTCCATATAATATTTGCAATTATTGTAATGATTTCATCTCGTGAACAAGGACAATGCTGAGTTTAGATATCCCGAGAAAAACGGCCAAGTTTGTGAGTTAGATAAAAAGAAAGAGAGGTTAACGAAAGATTATGACGATGAATTTACGTTGCAATCTTATCTGGATCATCATTTATATGTAAACCACCATGTCATATATCGGACGTTAGGACAACAATGATTTATGCAAAACGGTAAGGTGGTACAAATCATTTAATCCTATGCAAGAGTTGATAAATTTAATTATATATATATCATTGGTGAGTGCATAGCACTGGGCAATATTCATTGTGATTCCATCCTTCTTTGTTTTGAAGGATGCTTTGATGATCTTGGATCCATGAAATTTCCATCCTATAAGGGCTTTTCATGCTTCTTTAGACAACATCAGTGCAACTCCTTGTGTGCAAGGCAGTTTCTTCATTATGGCCTGAGTACAACAGCAGCTCTTCTAAAGTTAATCGTTTTAGTCCGGCTAGCGTGCAATGGGTTTCACCTATTCTAAATACAGCCATGTTATGTCTTTTCATTTCGTCAGACACGTGAATAGTCCTCCCTATCTTCCATATTGTGCGGACATTCTATGTATTGTGGTAATTTTTGTTTTGATTGACAGAAGGGTCATTGGCCACGCGATTTCCGAAGAATCTCGACTCTTGTCATGAGGCGTGATAAGTGCTTAAAACACAGACCCTTTAACTCCCAGGGCAGAGTTTAAACGGTTGGAATGATCTTTTGGTTAGCACTTTCCGTATACCTGAACACCGATTACCACGACGTGCAACGCTGACCGGTGTTGTGGATGGTTGGAAGAAATTTAGGGGCGGCCAAACCAAAACGTGGTATCGATGCTTGAAGTCACTAACTTCTAGTCTGAGCCATGTTGGTAGATGCAGACTACTTAGTTGAGGTCCACGTGATTGTCGTAACCAGTGGTTGGAGACTCTGTGTGACATGGCTCAAAATCGATAACAATGGCGTCGGCGTGTACACTCTCTGTCTGCCCTTGAACTATGAGGTTAAAATCGCTTCATATCTTTCTTTCTACGAACCAATTATTTCTTCCCGTACCGTACTCTTATGCACAATCCTATTATATATTGCTACCATTGAAGTGACTACTTCTATGAATTTGGTGTTCATCTTGTTGTGCTAATGAGGCATGACAACTTGGACCGATTCATATGCCTGGCTCTACGTTGTAGCTGATTGACTGACGTATGTTTTGCAAGGTCGTTTTCTACATGATGGGGTTACTGGCCATATGCCCAGCCCCCTCCCTCTATCCGGGAATGGGACCGGCAGTAACCCTGGAAGGGCTCCAGGGAAAGTGGAATAAAGTAGTTAATCATTAAGTTATATAATAGTAGTAAAACTCGTTTACCAGATATGCGTTTATATACTCGATCTGAAGTAATACTTTTTGTGAGGTCCTGGAACGTTAAAGTAGGTGGAGCTCAGTTGCTGAAGGTCGTGTTGTCTTAATTATAAAGTAACAACTTCATTACTCACTAAGAACCTAGTTAATGAAACAATTACAACAATGATAGTGACGGTAATAATACCAACTCATTATTAAGTCTACTTAGTGTCCAATCTACAGTTTTATATAATGCGAAGACTAAATGTTATGGGTAAAACAATTGAACATCTGAGTAGCGTAATACTAAGAATAAAAGAGTAGCAGCATAAAAAAGACAAAGTAACCAACCTTGAAAATATGCAGAAGTAAATCTAAGCCAGAGCATAAAATACGTGACTTTAATGTATCATAAGTTTGAAAAGGTGAAGTTGATAGTGACTTTGACAAACGTCCACTTGATTTATTAACTATAGAGCTGGTTGAAGATGAACATGCAGCTCGAAGAAGAGTAAAACCAAGTAAGATCATTCCTTGAACAGTAAACTCCCATTGTTTTGAAGTGCTAAGCATTGAAAATATTGCAATGAAAAGGATTTAGTTTGTATACATACAATGGTATCCATGATTTCGAAAACATTGGTGTTTATCCTATCCCGGTTACAATTTTATAGCTGAAGCGTTAGATAACACGATGAGCGATGTTTGCTATAGAACCCCAAGGGCGTCTAAGCTAAGACATGACATCAGTTCATGAAGTTATTGACTGTGTGGATTGTCATTTCGGTAACTGCAGATTGCCTAGTTGGGATTCAAGTGATTATTATCGATAACCGTTGGAGACTGGGTGACATGGTTCAGAATTGGTATCAATGAAGCAAATGCATTCACTTATTGTCTTTCCCTAGATCTTGAGTTTGAAATCGATCTTGCATCCTTTATTCCAGTTCTTCTTCCCAAACAATATTCATTATGCCTATTTTTTAAATACCACTGACACCATTACTACACCGAATACTCCAGCATTTCTTTTGATAATTTCATCTCTGGCCTGACAACTTAAACTGATGCACATATGTCAGGTTCTAAGTTACCGATGACAAAGTGACTTTATCTTTTTATTGAAGCATAAAATCTCACACAATTTGACATCAGTAGAATGCGCCACACAAAGTATAAACAACATTGTTGAGAAAATTGAGTACATTTGAAGAGAATGAAGAAATAAGTAGACAAAGCAGTTAACAAGAACAGTGTAGGGGAAACAATTCACTTAACAATACGGACGTGACAATTCGGAATTCTTTCAGTGAAAGAAATTTCTCTCACATTTATAAAGAGTGTAAGAGAATATTACAGCAGGGTCGCAATTGATTTGGTTTGAGACATGTCTGGTAACGTCTCAAGTCATTGAATTGCACCATCTCTCGAACCCAAACCAGAGTCGTGGTGGGTCGACTTTTGTTTCTGTTTATTTGTACACAAATATTGGTACAAAGAAGCACCGAATACATATGCGCCACACAAATCACTTGATTTGTGTGTGGGCTGTGACATTTCCCGGGTGCTCAGATTGAAGCAGGCCGACAAACCCCAGTCCTACACAGCTTTCTTTTATAGCATGGTCCCAAGCTATAAACTCACCACCTCTGCTTTTTTCCAACCCCTCTCAGAGTCGGCAAACAATGCACTACTTGGAAGCTGTTGGAATGATATTCGTAGCAACTGTCTAAGCGAATGGAACCGGTGTTTCAAGACGGTAAAATTAATTGAATTATGATCGCTACCTTCGACAGTGGTTGATACTAGATAACAGGACCATTTAAATTGCTCATCGAAGTGAATATATCCGAACCAGTCCAAACGAAACCAATATGACTGCATAAATTCAAACTGATCGGATAATCAGCAAGAACACATATCCCCAAAATTAAAAGTAAGCAGAAAAAGACAAGATTCCATGATAGCCCGAAATTTTTTAATGTCGGATCTTCGTAAAAAGCAGACAATATTAACAAATTCAACAGACTATATATGCTGCTATGTAAATTTACCAGTGTTCACTAAGTTTGAGGATAATTTCTTTAGGATCATCCGGTAGTCGGCATAAGTCACGAAGAAACGACGACTCTAACACCAAGTGACTATCAGAAAATCCCGTTAAAATAGAAGTAGTCAGTAATTGAGTGGCCTTTATAAAAATATGGTAGATAAGAATAATTAGCACAGGAAAAATAAAAAAATTTAATCTCTTCACACATTTACAAAAAGTTGTTGATCTAAGATGTACGAGAAATTATATCACTATTAAGCACACATAGCTTGATAAGATAGTTAAGGGCGAGCTTTCATTATATTCATGAATTATGTCGACAAAAGCACTATCCGTAACCTGCCTCGCAAGGATATATCGCAGTACATAGTTCTTAGGTTTAATAGATATGCATGAGAAGCACACTGATCCTATAATACATGTCAAGGAACAAGAGTATCTCGCTGAAAGGCAGTTGTCATAGACTGGAATACTGATTTGAGAAAAAAGTAGGAATAAACAAAAGTGAGAGAAATGTAATCTAAAAGTATACTTAACAAATTTTTATATAAGAACTTACGATTTATGTTTGTAGATGACTTCAGGTTGCATTATTCATCGTATCTAACTAACAAACGCAGATGGTCGCACAATATCGTATATTTATTGAAATTAGATTTGTACACCACCGAATAACGACTCAGTGGTTTATAGGTTAAATATTCAAGCGCGAGACCTAGGGGTCCGGTTTCCATGTGCGGAATCGTGGATGCGCACTACTGAGGAACCCCCCTCTGTTTTCCGACGGTTGTCTAATATGGGTCAGTTTTCTATTTCAATAAGTAATTTATGATGTAATTTACATTTATGAAAGTAACATCCATAAATCTGGTACAGCCTATACAATGATATTGAGTAGTGGTGAATAGAAGAATCAGAAGAGATGAAAACGGCAGAGGCGATAGGTAATAGCAGACAATTATTCACACTTATCAAAGAGACAGATATTAAAAATCCGGCTGTTAGTGAGACTTTTTCGGAAAAAGATGGGCCCAATATTCACTCGATTCACTAAATTGGACCAATCAGCAGAACACTTGAGGAGACAGTTTAACTGACCTTCAGTCACATTTAAGTTACCTACCATTTCCAAGAAACTTGAATGGTAAATTAGTGTAAGTCCTTCATTTTTTAGTTAGATTGAAAAGCCTATAGACAATCTAAAGCGATGGAGAGCAGCAGGGCCCAACAGACTAACACCTGGGATTTTTAAGAATGACGGTTCAGTCTTAGCAGTTAGATTAACGGAGATCCTAGCTAAAATCCAGGAACTGGACGTAATCCCGTCTTTCTGGTTTCGATCGCTGATAGTCCTACAAGGAAAAAACTCCTACTGTGACAATCACAGACGAATCAGTTTAACTAACATATAGTCAATAATACTTCGACGTTTAATGACAGCTCATTAAGAGAAAATCCGAAAAAAATAGGATGGCTTCAGACCTGGGTGCGGATGTACAGACCAAATATTCACCCTTCGACAGGTTCTAGAACACAGACATACTTTTCGATATCCGACTATAGTCGGACTACTTGACAATGAGTAGAATCTGATCAGTGAACTCGACAATTACAAATCTCATGATGATGTGGCTGGATTATTTATGCGATTCCGTCCTAATGAGTTGATATTAAAGACAATACAACTAGTCAGAACAGCTGGGTTTGATCCTATCTCATACTTATGTAAAAATTATCACCACAAAAAATAAACATGTTTATATATCATGAGCGATTGGAATGAATTAGCTTTGTAGGTCGTTCACTCTACAGTGAGTTAAAACCTGATTGTTAATCCATATTCTTTACCATCATATATCCCCACTAGGGATTTTAGGGTCGCTCATATGAATTTAGAAACAAGTGGATTTATATTTGGATGACATGGTGAGTCAGGGGTTACATAAACGTACAAAGAGTGTCTAGATATTCGCCAGTAAGGTATTTATACAACTAGTCTTTAGATCGCTAAGATGTGTTATCAATGGAGTCCTTCAGTGAAATGAGTCAGAATTAGACAGTAAAATAGATTAATTTACTGTTAATTGCCACATGACTTCCATACTATCCCACATATTTTGCTCCGCGAATTCATTTTTCCCATTTGAATTATATTCTTCAATGTTTAGTCTTTCGCAGTATGATTACTTATACTATTATCTTGACTCTTGGTATTTTTTTGGCGAAATATTACTTAACATTACCAACCAAACTTTAATGCTAATCAGACAAACGTAGCAATATACCTGAAAAGATGACTAACTGAAAGATTTAATAAATGAACAGACACATGTGTTAGGATAGTTAAGAATACTTACTTCAGATTGAGTACTTCGGTTAGGGAGTAAGGTCATTAAAACAGTATAATAGAATTCCGATCCAGTTAATGATTTGGACAAACACTAATAGCCCGTTGTGGAAAAAAAACTAAACTAAACAGGGAAAATACCTTGACAGTTTCAAAAATAGTTTTTCCAAATTGTTGATTAGCTTTAACTAATGAGAATATTTTCATCATTAACTGGCCACGTATAACTTCAAATGATTCAGGTGGACAACTACTACTACTACCATATATAAGCGATGTAAGTTGTAAGAATAGAAATTCCATATATCTCTAACTAAAATAATCATTAGGGAAAACTAGACAAACCGGGAAAGAAAATAATAGGATACTTTGTATAAAAATTGGTCGTTTATCTAATTCCCATGAAGTAATTTTGGAGAGAGCTTTTTCCAGTATCTTTTCCATGGACTTTTGTTGTAAGCTATAATTACTGAAAATATCCAATAAGCATATAATATTTTCGTTGTGCCACCTGAAATTATGATCTTCTTTTTAAAAAAAATGTCTTTACTCTACAGAACAAAGTGAATCAACCATTGAAATTAAAACAGTATTCGAGTTTTCCAGCTTCACTAATGCCCTGGCTAGAACATCGAACAAACTAAAATATTGTTAAATAATGATAAACAGGAATGATCTTACAGGGATGGCTCTGAGCATACATAAATTAGTTTTCGAATCATTCGGAAGCACAAACGCTCAACCTTCCAATCTTCTAGAAAGTCTAACTATATTTTAAAAACATTTAAAATTGGCAAATCAACATACATTATTATTTAGAAATGAAAAAAACATAAGTCTAATAGAAGTATCCACCTCTTTCGACCATAAGAAATCAACAACATGCTCATATATTTCTAACAGCTGCTCATGTTTACTGACACCTACTGAAAATATTACACCATTTTGTCAAAAAACACATTACCCAGAAGCGCTTCAAGGGAATTCAATCTATTTGACTTATCAGATCTCAGAAGTTTATCGAAATAATTAACAACCTGAAATACATTAATGGAAACATTGGAAGCATTTACTAACCTCTTGAAAACTCTTATTCAACAGAAGCTTTGATACTTCATTAAGGTTCCCCAAAACATTTTCTAGCTCAGTGTCCATCTGAAAACTTAATAATGACGAAGAGTAGAATATTGATTTTGTCTGGTGCTACATTAATGAGATAATCGAAAAGTTTACATTACTAAAAGCCCCTTGTAAAAAATTTATTAGAAAACACATGGTAAAGTATTAAAAATGACTCCATCATTTTAATCAAATATTTATTTCCAAATAAATTTTTTCCGAAGCCAGAAATTACTTGTCATTTACTCTAAATTATTCAATAATCCAGATTGCAATATCAGCTGTTTAACATAGTATAACAACCTTGCTGATAATACGCAAAGAATTAGTTAGCAAGCTGAGCAAGAGATCAAATGTCATAGTATGGGAAGTGTTATACTACGACATTAAACACAATTAAAATCTCTTGCTAGTAGCCTTCGTAATTCCTATCCTAACTTGTATTCTTTTTTTCCTTTTTTAACCATTTTCCTTGCAATCTCTATTGAGGATATACGATCTCAAATTGCAACTTATGAGAATTAAATCATTATCAATAAGGTTGAAACCCCATTACAGTAAATTATTCAATGTGAACACTATTCCGGAATTCTAATACACTCTGATGATATTTTGAGTTAATCACAATCACTTAGTTTAAATATTCTAATCATTTCTTATTGGTATATAATGAAAAAACTTAATGTATACTGACTGATTATACCGGATCTATATCTGCAAAACTGGTTTCCACTCTAGTTAGTAAGACAGGAAAATGACGATAGAATAGTTTTGTTCATCATAATGAAGTTGGAGTAGTGAGGATTATAACAACAGAGCACGAACGTAACTACCCCCTAATGACTTTTTACCCTACTAATGTTACCAACAATTTAAACCTACAAAATAGTGAACCAGATACCTTGAAAATGAGCGACTATTTATGAGTCTAAACTCAACGTGAAGTTTGACATGGTTTAGTGGTACTGTATTTGACCCCGATTGGATTGCATGAAGAATGCAATCGAAATGTACATATGGCCAACCCTCGTATTTAGTTATCGACTTAAATTGCGTTAGTGAATAACGAAATACGAGAGTGGATTGCGAATACGTATATTTCAAACAATCATTGGAGTGAAATTAGTACATGTTAGTAAGCCAATATTCTTCCTATCTATGATCAGAAATCCCCTATGCCAAGAAGTAAAATGTAAATAATATGAAGGTTTGAGACAGAAAATAAACGTATCTGTGCTACCTAATCATAATTTTAGCTTTATCACCATCAAAACAATTTTCACGACTGTCCGCCAGACTCAACCTTACAATCAAAGTCTGGAGATTTGGATATATATAAACATATAGACAAATGACGATTGGATTATATGTCTTATCATTTCCCAAGGTGACATCATACAACCAGTGCATATGCATCAACAAACTAATTTCCATCACTATATTAAAGTATCACAAGCAAACAAAAAAGGACAATAAAATCTACATACTTTGAAGAGATTTAGTGTGCGTTGAAAAGAAACGCAACAAAATGTCTACTTAGTCACTTCAATCAGTCAACCACAACGTGGAACCAGGCATATGAATCGGTCCAAGTTGTCATGCCTCATTAGCACAACAAGATGAACACCAAATTCATAGAAGCAGTCACTTCAATGGTAGCAATATATAATAGGATTGTGCATAAGAGTACGGTACGGGAAGAAAGAATTGGTTCGTAGAAAGATATGAAGCGATTTTAATCTCATAGTTTAAGGGCAGACAGAGAGTGTACACACCGACGCCATTGTGATCGATTTTGAGCCATGTCACACAGAGTCTCCAACCATTGGTTACGACAATCACGCGGACCTCAACCAAGTAGTCTGCATCTACCAACATGGCCCAGACTAGAAGTTAGTGACTTCAAGCACCGATACCACGTTTTGGTTTGGCCGCCCCTAAATTTCTTCCAACCATCCACAACACTGGCCAGTATTGCGCGTCGTGGTAGTTGGTGGTTGGGTATGCGTAATGCGTGGCCCAAACATCTCAGTCGATGAAGATCCACAACTTCATCAACTGATTCGCCATCATTCCCTAACACTCTACGTCTAACCTCACTATTACTTACCGAGTGATCCCAGATGATGTAAGCAATATTTCTAAGACATCTGTCGTCAAATAATAGTAACTTACAAGTATCGTCTACCCTTAGTGGCAGCCGCAGCCGTAAAGTAAAACAGAACGAACTACCACGCAGTATACTCGTCCTTTAATTAATAGACGGATATCTCGCCTTCGCCATAGGTAACGTAAGTTAGCAAAAGCCAAACGAGCTTTTCGAATCCGTGCAGAGATTTCGTCAGACACCAACCCATCAGGACTGATCAGGCTTCCAAGATGAGTGGAGTTGTCGACACGTTCGACTACACTCCCTATCCTTCGTTCGAGTGTTAATGCAGGCTAGTCCTGGAGCAACAACTTGCATTTAGAGGGAGAGAAACGCATCCCAAACATCCTGATATTGTTGCTCAGTGCTACCGAAAGACTCTGCATTTCATCAACGTCTTCGCTAAACATGAATATGTCATCTACGTATTAAGGCGATAAGTAGACCTCCTGGAAGGAGATCGATTTCTAAAAATTCAGTCGACGAGAACGTTATTTCCAGCAGTAGGTGAATTTGAGCAAAAATGTAGATAGTGGACAACCTTGACGGACACCACTTGAGTTTGCGAAACCAGGTGACAGTTCACCATAATCTCTGATTCGACTAGTAGTGTTCGAGTAAAGAGCCTTCACACGGTTCATGTACTCCTGAGATACGCCTTTCACCTAATCTGGTCACACGTACGTATGTACATCAGTTCGAGTTGTCACACCACATTAGCACAGAGATGCAGTTGTCAATTCAAATCCCTCTACCACTACGGTATTTGGATCGACAACTGCATCTCTGTGCTAATGTGGTGTGACAACTCGAACTGATGTAAGTACGTACGAAGTTCTACGTTGGTACTGACTGACTGACTGAGTCTGGTCACATACTGGTGACAAACGTAACAAGGAATAATCTCACCATAAGGGTGGATTTTTATTCCATTTTAGAATTCATATGACGACATTTACGATTCACAATGACCATATAGAAACGTAAGTTGGAGGTTTTGCTACTATTTATACTGTAATCAGAATTTTCTAGTAAAGTCTGTTGCACATAAACTCCATATTTTACTTCGACGCGTTACTAGTAGACAAATCAAACAGTCAGTCAGTCAGTTACAACGTAGGGCCAGGCACATATATGCATCGGTCCAGGTTGCCATACCTTATTAGCACAGCAAGATGAAACAAACTTGGGGGAAAATTTTTCCCTCATTTCGCCATTAATACAACCACATTAATTTTCATTAATTTGTTTAGTGGACCACGGGTTAACCGGTGACTTTCTGAGAACACCGGCTAGTCGTAAGTGCAGACAGAAAGTAGACAATTTGATGTGAATTCCGAGACTATTCAACTTCAGCAAGACATTTAGGAGAAAAGTTCCAATATTTCCCCCGGTCAGGAGACAAAGGAAACATTTTTGCGGACTTCTCATGTATGCATAGCGAATTTTCCCAAGAGATCCCAAGCAACCCAAAAAGGAGAAATAAAGGCGAAAAAAGGGGGAATAAAGCGGACGAAAGCATAAATAAAGGGAAAATGACACTTTTTCGCCTTTACGTCATAATTGTTTCTGTTATTATTTGCTAGATGTAGAGGGTACGAGTGAATTCGGAGAGAAGGATAAGAGAAGAAGCTAACAACTCAGTAGTCACATAGAAGCCACTTTCGTCAACGAAATTTCAAAACAGAAGCCATCGACAATCTGAGATAATCCTAAAAGATATCCTAACGATTAAAACTAGTCAGTATCATCGTAGCAGTTTATGCCTGGCTAAAAATGCACTTTGAGCACCAGGAGAGGATGAAGAGTATCGTGAGTGAGATCTCCCTCGAGTTGAGAGAGAAGAACAAGAGTGTCGATGAAATAGCAAGAGTATACAATGCACTTACGTATATAAAGAAAAGCAGTAGACAACAATTAGCAAAAAAACAAGCCGCAAACCAAGACACTCTCAAGATTAGTCTTGAGATTGAAACCAGGAACAGATAATTCGATCAACTTCACCACTAAACTTAAAAAGGCGCTACGTCTAAGGGAATTGAATTGCGTTAAGCTGACGAAAGGATAGAAAGTCGATACAACTAAACAACAAACTAAATCCAACGAAATCCGTTCATCAGAGTAAGGACAGAAGCTCAAGTGATCAGTTTTAATTTGTCGCGCTGTTGACATCTAGTCTTTGATCCTCAGTAATAGAGGTAGTAGGTCGATGGATCTGTATCATATTTTTCGGAAAAAATTCAGCTTCTTCCTAAAAATTTTCACGTATCAGGCTAATACAATTATTCCGGTTAAGGCGTTCCAGTTATCGAACGCCCGACGAGAAAAACAAAACCCCACTCACAGTTTGTTAAATCGTGGATTTTGAACAAGTTTGACCTTGAGGGTAATTAGATTCAGATTTATGTAGTGAGGACCACGCGCCATTTCTCGCTGAGTAAATTTCATTGTTTTGATCGTTTATTTCAGTTGGAGTTTCCGCCAAGAGTGTCATTTTTGTTTCAAAAGTTGTTTATAGTCGGTACTTTCTAGTACTTTGTTTCTATTGTATCTGTTAACAGCACATTTGATCCTAACAATTTTCAGTTTGCCACTTTTGTGGTCATAAATCACTCTTGTTTCTGGACATTATTTCATCTAGTCCCTTTTTGAAAACCTATTTTTATGGTTGAACCGTGCAAAAAAAAGCAAATGCCAAAGCATGGACTGTGAATACCTCGTTGAAGTCGGCATACATTGTGAAGAGTGAAATGGATGATACCACAAGGTTTGCACGAATCTAACACCTCGGGCTTTCAGACGGTTTAATAGAAATGGTTGCATGTAGTTTTCTCAGCAATGCGGCTCGTGCACAAACAGTTTACTAATCGAGGCCATTTCAATGAATAAATGCTTCTAAGAAGTGTATTATCAAACGAGATTGGGATATATCGGATAGTGCTCGATCTGTCTACGCACATATTGATGTAAAGCTACCTCAAATAAGCTTGGAACCAGATGACTCACATCAATCAAAGGAGGAAAGATCGACTTCGAAAAGGTCTGTACTAGATAAAACCCTAATAAAGAAAGTTTCCTCTGTCTTTTATACTCGAAATGGTATCCGGCAGGAAACACCTAGGAATCTCAATCGCGAGGCTAGGTCAATTCTATCAGGATAAACAACCTGACTACTCAAGTCATCCATAATTTTCCGGGATCCCACTCTGTGTTTGATGCGACTGTGGTTGCTACTCCAACGACAGTTTGGGATGACCTACTTTTATCAAGAGGACGCAATTGGTTAGATGGGAACAATTATTATTATAACCAGTTGTACCAGTGATTGATTTACTGTACTTACTTGTTTAAATGTACCAAAATACATAAGTTCTTCCTTCAGTTGATTGTGACCTTGAACGCTCTTCCGTTCGCTCAGTGATTTCGCTTGTACTCGATATTCTTTCGATACCACGGGATCGCCAACAAATATATCTCGCTACTGTAAGATCCATTTTGAATCTTTTGTGTGTAGAAATCCCTCCATATATACATTCGCAGTTTGTTCCTATTGATTCCTTTAGATGCGCATAGTTAGTCTTTTTGATTCCATATGGGTTGTTAATATTTGTATTTTATTTTTCTTACGCCTTCACTAAGTTTCCATATTTCTTCCTGAACTGCATTTATGTTGTTCTATTTATTTTATTTGAACACATAGATATTGGTGCAAGGAGGCACCAATTACATATGCGCCACACAAAGCTTAATCGATATGTGTGAGGGCTGTGATACTGCCCGGGTGCCCAAACCGTAGCAGGTGATCATCTTAGAGGGCCACTCCCCGAGCCTTCGACCTGGAGGTCTGATCCACAAGGCAGTGGAGCATCGTAAGCAGATGAAGTCCCATGGTAGCTGGTGACCAACAATTGGTTCATACGCCATTTTTTTCCCGCAGGATACTGTAGCCCATATGCTACATTGGTTTTGAATCCGGTTAAAGCTCCAGACATTCGCTTTTCGTCCTCTCAATTTCGTAAACAACAGTAATGCCACGAGAAGGTAGTGAGCAGGACTTTCCTGGTAAATGCTATATACGCGTGGCCTTGTGAGAGCATTTCGAGAGGGAGAGCAGACTTTCCCCAGCCTCAGTCGTACCAGGGCATTTGGGGGGTTATGTCGTTTTACTGGATACTTAGCCTTGGCGGCAGTTATATTGATTTATTCCTCCTTTTGATTGCGTTGCTTGTATTGACTGGAATTGTGCATTTCTGGTTGTGAATCGAGGCACTCTTCCAGAATTGATAACACTCTGTATTATAACGCAACCAAATATTATCTTTCGAACGACCCGTGCGTGGTCTATCCAAACAGAATAGAACAACATTTATTTGTTATGATTAATAATTTTCTCGCATCTTTTATCAACTTCCTTATTTATTGTAATTTATATTCGATTAATTGAACAATTATTAGTTGGATAGCTGGGTGGTCCTAATGTTTTAGGTAACGATGTACATTTAACTTTATGATGAATATCAGAATCGACATTTTACCCAATTACTTAGTTTTTGCTTCAACCGGAAAAGGGAGCCCATCTAACCCACCTAGACAGTTATTCTTCAATCAAAGCCTTAGTTTGGATCTTACAGCCACAACCTCCAAACGCCTTCTGATATCTGGTATGCAACCTTATTTTAGTGGTGATCATATTCAACCGCGACTCGACGCCACACTACAACTGGTGAACCCAAAACTACGAACACTTTCAGTCGCGGTCAAATCTTCCAAAGAAGCCAATCGCATTGAGTCTATTACTAATCTATCCACGTCTGTTGGACATTTTCATATTGGTATTTTTCAATATATAATATTCTGGCAACAACTTGAAATGACGGATAACGATGAGAATAGTATAAATATAATAGACTACGATGTACGCGTACCGAATCTTAGGCGTCCTTCATTTGCGTGACTATATATTCCACGCTTTACCCAAGAAATTTCCCCAATTAACTGTTCTACGCACGGATCCGGCTGCTTGGTACGGAACTCATGTGCACTACCGCCTGCCACTCAGCATCAAATGGTTTAGTTGAACATTTTCATCCCCAACTTAAAAGTACTCTCTGAGCACACGAAAACAACGATTGGTACGAAACCTTACTGTTCGCCCTCGTAGGTATCAGAATGAGCTTAAAGGCAGATATTCAATGTGTCCGTCGCTGAACTTGCATACGGCACGACAATACATCTGCCTGGGGAATTCGTCACACCACAGAGCAGTAGAGATTTCGGTAGATCAGACTACGTCCATCGACTGTCTGAATTCATGCGAACACTGCCTCCGGTATCAACTTGAATACAATATTGACAGGTCGCTCTCGCTCGAGAATTACCTACCTGTTCACATGTTTTTATACGAGTAGATTCGGTACGCAAACCTTTGCATCAGCCTTGTGAAGGACATTTTCACGTGATTTCTCGTCACTAAAAGACCTTCAGGGTTGATCGACATGGCCGCATCGAGATCGTCAGCATCGATCGTCTCAAACCAGCACACGTTGATGACAGTGCCCTACTCCATAACTGGAGACCCAATGCTAGACTTATCAAACCTACATCTACCTCAGGTTCGACGCTAGATACACCTGAGAACTCATTCTCACGTCCCAGTCAACAGAAAGTGTCATCTGCACCATCTACGGGCGAGACGTCAATCTCACGTCCAGATCAGCAGACCACGCCGCCCTTGACTCTGGATGAGATTGCAGGCTCACGAAGCACGAACGAGACTACCGTCTCACGTTCCAGTCGCTCAGTACGCCTACCCGTACGCTTTCAGGACTAACCGCACAATCGATAACGAATACGGTACAGAACTATACCCATATACTGCATACATGCTACAACTTTTCTCTTTCTCTTTGATTTTTATCCTGAGTCCATGCCTCCGACCATCGCCCACTTGGTAACGTCGACTTCAGTCAATTTTGGAGAAAGCGGTCTGTAATCACGGGCAAACACAGGACATCCCACTTCGTACGTGGATCGCTTCTCAAACTTTGTCCGTTCTGGTTTCGGTGCGTTACTTGGATGCATCAGGCTGTGGATCGTCTTCAGTCTTCTTCCCATTAGGATCTCTGCTGGGACTTTCGCTCCGGCAACGTCTCATTTGGTGTTGTTCGATACACATATAAGAAATTTTGTAACGCGTCTGCTTGCGTCCCCTCCCCTTTGTCTTAGCCAAGGCTCTTTAAACGTATCCACAAACCTTTCTGCTTGCCCATTCGACTGCGGGTGGTATGGTGGCGAGCGTAAGTGCTTTATGGCTAGTCGTTGACAGAATGACTGGAATTGACTGGAGGTGAATTGTGAACCATTGTCAGATACAATGGCATCTGGTATAACCATTTCGGGAGAATATTTCTGTGAGGATTTGTATTGTTTAGTCGTCGTTGGAGGCATGATAGGGTTGATTTCAGGCCATTTCGAAAGGGCGTCAACTACAACTAGATACATGGTTCCGTTAATCGGGCCTGCAAAGTCGACGTGTATCCTGGACCAAGGATGATCAGGTTGTGGCCATGAAACTGGTGGAACTTTGGCGTTCACTTTTGCTGCTTGCTGACACGGTGTGTGGTCCTCTGTCAATAGGGAGGTAATAACTGCATCTTCGCCGACCGTTTGGCGTTCGCTGGTTGACAACTCCGTCATTAGGTTCCTCGTATATGCTTCCAATTCATGTGGTTGTTGTCGTAGTTGGGGTTGTGATACCAGGTTGCATATGGTATTCAACGGGACATCAGCTAAATTTAAGTGATCAAACCAATCTAACCCCAGCAAATTTAGATCAGCTGGTGTTATGTAGCATACCCCAACAAATGCCAAATCACGGAAAGTAACTGTACATTCTATTTGTCCAAGCAGGTGAAGGTAACTACCACACGCAGTACGAGGCTTTTGCGTTGTACGCTGCAAGTTTGGGCTGCCCATTTCGGTCCAAGTCTTATGAGAAAGGATAGTGACATCTGATGCTGTATCTATTTGCAATCTAGATGAATGCCCATTAATGTTAACAGTAATAAACTTTCTCTGACCTGGTGATGAGCTTTGACACGAAGATATTAAGCTCAATGAATTGGTGCGGGATCTAGGAAGGGTCTTTTTGGTATTTCTGGATACACTTGGAGTCTTCTTCCTCAGACAAAACCCATCCTTATGACCAATAACCTTACACTTCTTGCATCGATGTTGCTTAAATGGGCAGTTTCGAACGTAGTGCCATGCACCACATTGCCAGCAAGGAGCAGGAGGAGTTGCTTTGGTCTGTCGTCTCGGGCTGGAGTGAGATGGACTGGATGAAGCGGGGACGTATTTGTTTTCGTAAGGTGTTTGTTGCACCGCTCGTACTTCAGATCGGTTAGACCCACCACTCTGGACCATAGAAGTGTCTCGCTGAAAATAATGAGACGTTGATATTCATTAGCTATATCACTCAGGGTGAGTTTTGGCTCTTGATCCAAACGACTTAGTAGTCTTGTTCGCAAGTCACTAAACTTTTGGTGCTGCAGGCTGCAAATAAGTATCAGGGCTTTAAACTGATCTTCAGTCAAGGACTTTAACCGGAAGCGTTCGCATTCACGGTTGACGACGCCTACATGCGTAAGAAAATCATCGTCTTCGTTCATAGTAAGCTTCAAGCAACGATAACGAGTATTAAACAGTGACGAATTATCGCCAAAATGTTGGCTTAATGTTTGAACTGTGTCTTCAAATGATCGATCACGTGGGTTCAACAGTAGGATCAGATTACAATACTTGTCCAGCTCATTTGCACCCAGTTTACGAAGTAGCAGCCGCACTTTCCAAGCATCATCCTGATTGGCGAAATCAAATTTAAATAGATCTTCATAACGCCTGAACCACATCTCGAAAGTAACATTAGCATCAGGATCGTAATGAAATTCAGCTATGCTATTTGCGATGCCATCTACCGATGGTGCTGTGGTCGAACTAGACGTGCTTGGCTGTAAAGGAGGCGTAACCTTGGTCTCCATCAACATTTGCATCAATTTCAGCTGCTGTTCAAGTAACAGTTCAAGTTTCGCAGGGTCCATAGTTCAAAAACCACCGTCGCCAATTTGCTATGATTTGTTATTCGCTTGAATGCTATTACTGATGCGTCTTACTCAACGAACGAAGGATTAGTGACTCAGCGACTCGATAGCTATTCTGGTTCGTTGTCCTCAACTCTGCTAACTCGATCAAGAAGTCTGGGTAAGGTGTAGAAGTGTATTCTGCAGACACACAGCAGCTAACAAGTCAAGTCAAACACACAACTCACGCGTATTTATACAATATTTACAATCGATATTGTCATAGAAAAATTTTAAACACATTTAATCGATAGTTCATCAATTGACCTATTTGCACATCTAATTGATAGGTTCATAAACTGACTGCTATACAAACATTTAATCAATAAGTTGATCGATAAGATAAAATTTAAAAATATGAGTTTGGGGATCTATCATCCCCAACAGATTGTTTATTGAAGGGGTGCCTGGGTTTATTAATGGCTTGAATTCCCTATAATACAAATGCCCCAAACAGAATGAGGTCATACAACCACCTCTTCATTGTTCCATTTAAGTAGTAGGGTTAGACAGGGTTGCCCAATCTCACCATTCCTCTTCAACTTCATCCATCGATGACGTCCTGGAAACAGATCTGATGGATGTAATGGTGGTGTGGATTTGTTGCCTGAAGAAAGACTTTTCGACCTTGATTATGGGGATGATATTGTCTTACTGTGCGATGATACGCAAGCCATACTATTCACACCTAATCAGTTGGCAATTAGTGTCTATAGGTATGGTATGTGCTTTGCACCTGCCAAGTACTTCTGAACATGCAATCACTATGGGTAGAGAGCAAATAGAAGTTGTCGAGAAGTTTGGGTAGCTGTGTAGGCGAGTGATTGATGAGATCAATTCACGTATAGTGACAGCCAAAACGGCTTATGCTGATCTGGGTCATCTCTGGCACCTTTGTGATATTAGTTTGGCTGTAAAAGGTCGGATCTACAACGCGTCAGTGAGAGCAGTTTTGCTCTGTGTTTGTGAAACCTAGCCTCTCCGAGTTGACGATGTTAGATGACTTTTCATCAGATTTATCAAAACAATTTCAATTTTCTACTTATTTAATTGCTATCAGAGCGTCAAACATATAGATATCCTAGCAAACTATACAGTTCACTGTGAAAGGACCGTTCGTACACTTCTTGGTAGAGAAACTGAAACCGATGGACACTTGTTCCAGGTCCTACGTTGCTCATTACTAGCTCCGTCCAGTTTCTCTACCACTTCTCTCAAAGCCTGTCAAACAAATATGAGCAAAAATATTTTGAAAACCTATCAAAGTCTAATCTCTTGACTACTGTAAGTGAAAACCTCTTTTATGCAAATAATATAAAGCGATGTTTTACTACTACTCGATTTGACTATAACGATTGTGGTTGTCAGTTCTATTAAACTCTTAGCTTAGTTAGGATGTATGCTAGTCTTGATTTAGTTACATTTATTCGACTATCGTTGTCTTCGCCTATGTATTAGTTCTCCAATGAAGTAGTAATAAGTTGAATAATGAGTCAATTAGTTTTGTTGAAATTATAGTGGCTAAATTTGACGAGTCATGGGTTGTATATGAATAGCCACTGTTTCGTTGATTTTTGATGGAGAGTGCAATTAATTTCTATTGAGTTAAACAATCATGTTATAAAGAATTATGTGGAAACTTTCTCATCAACTATCTTGTGATCACACAAATTTATCATCTCAAAAAATGCTTTTAAGTTTAATCATAGGTGAATTATTTTTTCCCTATATTCAAAGATGTTTTACACCTTTTTTCTGATTAGTTTAATTTTATGATTTTCATTTACTTCTTAAACTTTTAATTAGGTGGGAATAACTATGAAGAGGCTTCGGAGTATATTCGATCATGTTTTGAAAATTCAAATACTCGTAGTGGACCTAAAGATATTTATTCTCATTTTACATGTGCAACGGATACAAGTAATATACAGTTTGTGTTTGATGCTGTAACTGATGTAATAATTAAAAACAATCTCAAGGATTGTGGAATATTATGATTTTATAAAAAAGAAAATTAGTTATCTTTTCTGATTTTGAACTTCCTTACGAAACAGTTTTTGTAAATTAAGTGTAGCAATTTATTTATTACATTTTGCATTATTTGCTTCTTTTTTTTAACTGTTTTGTCTAACTTCCGAGTAGTCGAGTGTACCAAGAACATAACAGCTTCAATTTATATATTTTTATTGGTATAAGTATCTAGCTATATTTTTCAGTATAATGAATGCGATTTGTTAAACGCTGGCCGAAACTTAATATTATCTTGGTTTTGTTCTCTCTAGTGTTCTGTTTAAATTCACTACTTGTAAATAAATCTTTATGTTTTGTTCCATTTCATTTGTTTGTATTCTAATACTCAGTTCAGTTTATCGTTTTGTAGTTGTTACCATGGCTCAGTGGTTGGGCTTGTCTATTATAAAGACGCAGTCATACTACATTGGTTAGAGAGCCTATTCCATGAAGTTATATCATGATAGTTAATCCTGATAGACAATAGTGAGACCAAAACGAACAAATTTGAGGTTCGGAAGTAGATTTGTACTCCTTATTACAGTGCTGCGCACTGGCGGTTAGATGTTCTCAATCGATAACCACCATTTACTGCGAGGTCGCCTTTTAGTGGACATAGAGAGGTTATGAAAAGTCGAAAAGCCCAAAGGCGGACAGCTCTGTATATTAGGTATGTCGGACTACTTCATAACTGAGTATTTTTTGTGGTGTTAGCTACTAACTTTACCCAATCGATTTGTGACATATTCACATAGATGAAAATGTGAATTCCCAGAACATAGTCCCATGTAACTTAATTCATAATATTTAAATTTATAATCATTCTTAATAAATAGTCTTTTACTGTTGGTGTCTCCAGGGGATTCTCAGGAAAAAAGTTGTGATTTTACTGAGTGGAATATTTTCTGGACTCGGCCTGGCAGATGAATTAATATTTAGCTAGTTGAAGTATAATGTACAAGATGTTTTATAATTTGTAAACAGGATTTTCCGAGTCATCTCTTCACTGGATCTGACTTTAAGGTAAAATTATCCTGTGTTATTTCATACGGCTTAAAGTTTGAAACAATCTTGATTTATCTATCATCTAGCAGTGAAAATCCACGATCCATGAAATACTACAATCTATCTGAACCAAAAAATAACCAGACAGAAGCAACTGTTCATGGTTCAAACCAGGAAGTGTGTCATCAGTCAATTGGCTTGCAGGGAAAATTTTCTCATTCTTCAAGAACATTAAAAATGAAAATACGAGGTTGCGGGTTATATTGTCCTTGGATATGGCATCGTCAATCCCTATTATTTCACTCATAGAGGTAGTCAATAATAAATGCATTTGACTGGGTTAGTGGAGAATAAGTGGTTACTAAATTCGTATTACTATAGCGGGCGCTACTCACATAGCAAGTTATTTAGTGTTGATCCCGGTGTGAGATGTACGGCTCTAAACTTCTGTAACGCCTTTAGCTGGGCCATCAGCATTTGAGGAATGAGGTCATCCCGATATTCCTTCTCGTTCACAAGAGCGATCCCACCGAATGTAACCACCCTGCCACATAGTAATGTCCCCAATACCGTCACCTTAGCTGACGGTTACCTCAAACCGACAAGCCTGGCTATCGACCGTAACTACCTGAAATAGTTCCCGATGTCCCACTCTCCAAAATGGCCCCAGTCACAGCACTTTCGTCTTGATCTTGGCAGCGACACCAGATATGTGAAGGCGATATATAGGAAAAGACTATATTAGTATCGAGTTACAAAGTATTTATCATAATGCATATAAATGTAGTCTTCAATCACCCATTTTTATCTTTCGGTGTGTTCTGCCATTTGAACTGCATTCTCATCTGGTTTCCAAGTGTTCTGCGAACACCGTGCCTTCGGTTTACCGAAACTCTTCACCACGTCCGATAATTGTTGCAACTTTTACGCCACGTTTCACTATGTACTACATAAAAATAATCTTTTCAGTAGCGTTCGCTACATTTCTATTTTAGTAGTTTTTAATCAGTAATATTACTGAAACCTACCTTTAATATATATCCCACTCTTAGAGATAAAATCTGCAGAGAGAAGGTTGAAATTACAATGAGTTTAATATAAGATGATATTTGTCTAGCTAAATTTGAAGCCGCTCACTTAAATATTTTGATGATAAATTCATGTTTTACTGTCGATATACAGTTGGTACATTCATTCTTTATAAAAAAAAACGACAAAAATGCCAGCTTATCTTCCACTTTAAAGAAAGTATGCTCAAATTCCATGTGAGTAGGACGATTAAAGCAGAACAGCATTCTTAGATGATATACTTTCATGAAGTAACAGGCAAATATGAAATGAGGAACTTAAATAATAAGACGGTTTAGGTATGATGTCAATTCTCATGTTATTCGTACAGCATATGCAACAATCAATTCTTTTTGTATTTGTAGCAAATATTTCATGCGTACATCATAGTAGACAAATCATGAACGAAAATGGAATAAATACGGATCGGAGAGGTGTTTATTAGTCTGTTCAACATAGGTATGAATCATTTCATGGAAGAAAAACAGACAATGTATTAATCACAAGAAGATAGATACATTCAGGCAAAACATACACGTAAATCTTTATAGAAAGTGGACAATATAATTTAAAGGGTTAGAAATAACTCATGAAAATAAAGTTGAATAAAAGGTCACGAAATGCTTGATTGAATTGGAATAAATCATTTAATAGTTATAGCTTTGTACAAACAAAAACAAATGGGTGTATAGTTTAAAAAGAGACAGTATAATAACTACACGCAATTTGTTTTAGGTGTGGCATCTTTTACATACAAAGAACTAAATCGACAAGTTATTTTCATCATCAATTTATAACCACTTTCCACGGTAATTGGAAATTGGTATAAATTTCTCTTTTTGTTGTTTATTTGCAGTTCGATACTCAATAGATTTACAACTAGTAAGTGTAAACTGATTGTAAAGCAATTAGTCCCTTTGATAAACTTGATTAGTGTGAAAACAAGATGAAGACATATATATTAGCAGAATACATTTCGATCAACCGTATCACACATACTTTTTATGAACATTTATACATAAAAATAAAAGGTCAACTAGACAAAAGGAAGCAAAGATAATAAGGTAAATAATGTAAAACTCAACACGGTGGACAACAAACATATCACCACGGTAGGTTTAAGGTGAGAACAAACTGTTTTTGAATACATAAAAAGGGTTTCGATTTTTGTATGGCCAAAGCTTCAATAAGTCTTAGTATAGGCCCTTTAACACTTTTTTATAACACTACAAAAGCGGTGTTAAGATAAATTTTATGACCTGTTCTAACTATATGTTTATCAGTAGATGATGATGGAGGTTTATTATCTACTCTTAATGGATCATTTAATTTTATTTATTTTTGTAACCATATAGGTACATGTGTTCAAATATTTTCATCTGTCGTTTTAGTGTTAGTAGAAAGTTACATATATTTTATAATGTTTGGGAGTCTAGGATATACACTCAGTGACCCCAGTGTATATATATACTAATGAACATAGCAAAAGGGTAGTTGAAGTTTGATACTTTTGAATAGCAAGTGGGTAAGTTTATCCCATGGTAACTGCGCTATTGATACGGACCGTTTTCACGTCAACGGTGAGAATTAAGGTTGATAGGGTGCAATTAGATTAACCCTGTTGTAATGAGCTACGGTCTTAATGAAGTATAATGGGGAAAAATACTGAGACATAGGATCGATTTTTGTATAGTTCTACGTTTTCAACAGAATTCGTTAACACTTTACACATTGTTTGGCCCTACTAAATTGTTGACTAGGTAAAGACCTACTTACAAGTTGTAAGTAGAATGAAACACTTTAATGAGGTTTCCTGTCTTTGTTCAACTAGTTTAATCCACGAAATTCCTGACTGAAATAGGTAGTATGGAAGTAAGTTGAAATTTTTCAGGACATCAGAAGTATAAACTTGAGGAAAAAGTTATAAACTGTCGCCTAGAAGAACACATTCACATTAAGAATGAAAAAAAGGGTGGTTTTGAATTTTCGAGAAGAAATAGACAACTATATAGAAGAATTACACTCCAAACTGAATATTCCAACATGTTTCGCCTTCAAAGGTCAAATAATTACATAATACACTTGCAACATCAAACTACTGAAGCCGAAATTATATTACTGAAGGTTATGAAAAATAGAATAGATCTTTTGCTTTCTTTTCAATAGCAACTTATCTTTAGCATAAATCAACCGTCCAATCTGATTTCATCGGACTATGAAAGCTATAAATAATGCTCCAAAATAAATAGATCAGTAATTAATTAACAATTGTTGACAAACACACACTTAGTGAGTACTTTTGGAGGGACTCCAGGCGGAGTTACTTTTGGATAGCGAATAATAATTTGATCTAGATTTTATTTCTATTTGTAGTCAACAACAAAAATCGTTTACTAAGACTTTCTTTGTTTCTTTCATGTTTAGATTAGTAAGGTGCATAATTTTTGAGTTCTAATGAGACAACTCTAATAGTTTATTATCGATTTTTGTCCTTTATGATATAAAAAACCCATATTGGACAATTATGCTAGAATCAACTTAATAAAAGTTAAGAAATTGAACTCAAAAACAATGATCCCAACATCATGACACAAAATTTCCAGAAAGTATCACAGTAAATTCAATCAGAACAGTTGTACAAGAGCATACAAACAAACACTGGCATAAATTTGTCTTTTACTCAAAACGATTGCAAGACAACGTAACTAAGATGAGTGACTTTAAAGAAAGGTGTACGCTATGCATTGTGCTATATATCAGTTTAGTTAATTAATTAAGAATTGTAACTTTACTCATGGATCAAGAACCACTAAGAAATCTTCTCAGTTCCTTAAGGAATATATATATTATCTCCCTGAGTAGAGATGTGCAGATATCTTTTGTTGTAGCGGAACGAACGTTGAAGAAATCTTGG